TGCTGCACGACAATGCTCGACCCCACAAGTCACGAACCACCGTGGGAAAATTAACAGAATTGGGCTATGAAATTTTGCAGCATCCACCATACTCACCTGACCTTTCACCAACGGATTATCACCTTTTCCGTCACTTGGAGCTGTTTCTCCGGAATAAAACATTCCGGGACCGAGGGGCTGTAATTGGAGCATTTGAGGAGTTTGTTAATTTAAAAAATGTAGAATTTGATAGAAATTGAATATTTTCCTTCCGTTGGGAGAAGACAATTAAAGCTAATGGAGCATATTTTGATTAAATGAAATTTTATTTGTTAAAAATATAGCCTTTTAAATCTCATCTTCAAAATCGGACATTTCATGTGAAACAACCTAATACTTAAACTGAGGAAAGGTTCTCCTTTCTCACTTGATTTGCTCGTTTTTTGTGGAGTCCGTAGTGTATTACGCGACAACGGAGGAGTCAGAACGTGCTATATGTACCATGAGGGTGTTTAGCCATCGTCTAACCATCGGCTATGAAAACATGGCTTAGGGATCGTTCACGCAATCGAAAGTAGACAGCTTAACCGGTTACGAAAACATCGGTTAACCGATGTTTTCGTAGACAATATTTAAATAAAGACTATCGATAATCAATGTCTAAAATAATAATAATAAACATCGTTCATGCAATCGGCCCTCAATGTCTCGTCCAAGGATTATCCTTGGACATGTCCATTGGATGGCCTATCGGGTGTCCGTCTCTTAGGATCCATTGGAGATTCACCTTGGGAAGCTTTTGGATGACCATTGCGGGGTGCAGCGATAGAAACCACCAGGTATCAATGGAGCTAAATTTGCATGCTCATGAATATTCATGGTGTGGGAAAGGAGCATTTTCTGCATATTGACGATCTCGCCTCTCACGTTACTTGGAAGAATTAGAGAAGCGCTTGGATGGAAAGTGAAGCATTATTGAGACGATACTCTCGACTTCCCATCCTGATCTCTCATTCAAGAGAGTTTCTCCCATCGTTATATGGGACATTATTCGTAGAAAGGGAACAGGCTTACATGACAATGGGAAAAACACTCTCACCATGCAATGTGCAAGAACTGCCGGGAGTCTGCTTCAGCTATGTTACGTCTCTCTACAAATGAATTAATTAGAATGACTTCATTCCTTAGGGTTGTACGTGGGAAATTATCGAATAGAGGATGAAAGCTTCTGCAGAACCATTCATTTGGGGAATCGGGAGACATACAGCGGCAGGATGAGTGCGACCTCACTTACATTATGGGAACTTTTTTATTAAAAAAAAATGAACTGCTAGATGTCAGGCCACATGAAAGGCCTCAACGGGGCGGGGATTCCATCGAAGGACATCCAACGGAAGACCATAAGTTATCCTTGGAGGTTCCTTTGCTGGACGTCCAATGGATGCCCAAAGGACTAACATCTCGTTTCGTTCGTAATGTCGAAATCTAAATGAAATCATGCACTGGTCTAATTATGTCACACTATATATTGATTGAAGTTATTAGGCTGGGACCTAAGATGGTAGATTAGAAGAAAAAAAAAGAACAAAATAAATCCCACGATCGGATCCTCGTAACGCCATTCCATAAAACCTTCATTCAATAAGATGGTAATAATCGAGTGTTCGATGTAGGGGAATTCTGCTCGAATGCAGCTCAGAATGCATGAGAATATATCGATCCATGGCGATGGCATCCTATGTATTGATACATCCAAATGACGACCGCCTCTGGACTTATTTCCATCTCTGGACAACTGGACTGTCCATGGACGAGTTTTGGATCACCCATGGCTACTTGGGAAGTAGCAATTTTGATCCAAAATAAAACATTATTTTGTGATCTGTCTGTGAAGTTTGTCAGTCTGAAACCCTGGAGTTCTGAGAATTTTCCCAAAAATGTGAACACAATTGAAGCATGAATTTAAATTCAACCTTTACCAGTGCCATCATCTTGCTCAATCACGATTTATATGTAAGAAAAAGTCTAATTGGATGGTGCTATCTGTTGCAAGAGATATGTTTAACTGGTAATGAAAGGGGGAGGGGCAAAACTAATCTGGATCAATATCCAATCAGAAGTCTCAAGAGATGCCTCCAGTCCAGGAACTGAAGATGAAACCTTGTTGAACTGAAGGTTTGAGTCCCAGGCAGATAGAACTTTGAAAAATCGTTCCAGCTTTTCTAAGGGGAATTCACACTACCAACATATCTCATGAATCTACTTTCTGCCTGAATTACTCGGAAGTGATATCTAATTTTCATGAGAATGTCAGATAGAACTTTATTGATCTGAAGTGACGATATACAGTCATCCCCCAAAGTTACGTTGTAATTGGTTCCGAGACCGGCGACATAAGTCGAGACAGATTGAGATTCACGGATGACGTAAGGGCAACGTAATACAACGTAGGCACGAATTAGTGCGCTTGGCTTAATATATTGGGTATGGGGGCAAACGACGTAAGCGCGGAATGACGTAAGACGAGACGACGCAAGTCGGGGGATGACTGTAATGGCTCCCATTACAGAAACAGGGTGACAAATTAAACCCTCACAAGGAATGGGGCATGGTGGAAGGGATGCGCTGTGGCCTCCAAATAGGGATTAGGGAATTTCCAATTTTACCCTCCTGCCGACGTCACCATCCCTCCTGAATAACCAATGCCATTCCCCCCCCCCCCCATTGGGTTTCCAGAATGTCCAGGAGCGAGATCAGTCAATGAAGAGGAAGACCCCATTCTTGCTGAACTTCAGGAGACTTTCGAATAGTTTACACCATAACAATACCCATTCAATATGTTACACCACCTTTGGCCAGAAAAAAAAACATTAGAAAACTATTCACTCCACTACCAGAGAAATTCAGTATCTAGAGGCAGTGATTTGTAAGTTACTTTCCAAAAGGAACTACTAAACCACTTAGTCATATCCCCCCTGGTGAAGAAAAGGGTAAATTAAAGCAGAAGAGAAAAGCATTAACAAAAGGGCCTATGAGTGGCACATAATCTTAAAATGAAACAAAAGAATAATCAAGAATGAGGTAAAATTTACTATCTGACATGCCTATCGGCTTAAGTCAAACACTTGCATGGTGGAACAGGCTGAAATCCCAAATACTCTTTGCATCTTTACCTCACAAGTCCAACACTTGATATTAATATTTAAAAAAAGTAAAGACAACATCTGTCTTATTCTTCCTCTGCCTGGCAGAATGAAGTGCAGGATTTAGAAATGTGAAACTTGCTAAAACAAGCATTGCACAGGGGAAAAGAGGCATTTATTGAATAAAGTTTCAGGGCTGAGCCATAAACCTTTTACTTCCCCTTCTTTGCTTTGATCTTCCTAAGATAGAACTCCAGCTCCTTGCCTTCAAGGACATAACCATCTGATCGTCCACACTGACCAGGCCTGGAACTCAGACATGCTGCAGAGAAAAAAAGTCATACACTGAGCAAACTGTGTCAAATACAAAAACCTTCCACAACTGCAGTAAAGCACAGTAGTTATCTTGGTTCAGGGTAACTATGACTGTTTCTCACAGCTCAAGCAAGATGCCCGAGGACTCAATGGAAATTTCTTTCATCATTACAGAACATCCATTTTCATCAATAAGGATCCCTCATTGCTTCACAGAATAATATGAATACAGCCCAAACTAACAAAATGGATCCCAATTAGAAAGGTTGAAAGGAATCAAGGAACTCACCCAAGACGCGTCCAGTCATGAACTGTTCTTCCAAAGGTTGCTCCACCTTGGCATGCTTCTGCCTTTCCTTATATTTCTTCTCTGCATGTTTTGAACGTTTCTTATTCAAAGCAGCCTCTTCTGCCTCAGTCTGTCAGAATGGAATAGCAAGGAAATATCTTTGCTGATATTTCTTGAATATCGAAACATGGAAACAGTTTATAACTCATTATGGACAACAGGCATCAGAAATCAGAAGTGACATCCTTGTATCTCAGGCGAAAGATGGTGATGAACAAACATCACTTGCCTATTGTGCAATATCACGAGGTAAACATTTTTTGGCACAACTTTACTTGGTTGCAGACAAGAGAAAGGGAAGACATAGTAAACAAATTGGGAATTCTCAAAACCCTACCACTCACACACTACGATAGCATGATTTTGAAAAGCCCTTGACTCTTATAACCGCCTTGCCATAATGATATATTTCTTCAATAAAAATTGTATTACACTGTTTCCAGATTGAATTCATACTCCCCATAGAAACGCTCCCATCAATTACAGATAGTGACATCTTACACATGGGTGGTTTTGTCTATCACCTGCTGAGGCAGTACCCCTGGAAATGTGTATTTCCTTCATTCTCCACTATGTGGGGGTTGGAACGAATTCAATCCGGAAACAGTGTATCATTATAATGGTGATAGACACATTGAGTTTGGGGTGGATTGTGTGGCATGGTTTATGTATTACCCCTGTGTGGTTACCTAGCAACAATGGTTTTAATTAACTCTGGTTAATATATAAACCCATCTGCTTAATAATTATCCCAAGTGCACACGATATGAGGCCGTCAATTCAATGGCTAGGTCAGTGAATGGGTAGAAGAATTTAAAAATGACATTTTTAGTGAATATTATAATGCCCAGAGGTTAAGGTGCAATCAATTAATAAAGAGCCTATTGTAACCAGAGTTGTAATTCTTGTGCCAACCCAAGACTGTAGGTAACACTTGCATCAGAAGCTGGCACACACCATGTCTAAAGGCTAAAGATAGAAAGCATGCACCCAAGATTGAAACCAGGGGCAAGACTGGAATGTGAAAGAAACTGAGCAATAGGGACAGGTCAAACAACTCTATTCAGAAACTGCATTAATTGCTACCTAGAAGCACGCAAAACAAGATTATTAGGTATACCTGCTGTGCTAGGTATTCAAGACATGTAGGTTTAGTGGTGCCTTACTGGAAGATCATGGATACATTCTGCAACAACATTTTCTTAACATATGCTATGTGAACTACTCATGGAAGAGGCAATATAATTATTGTAAATTTTATAAGGAAAAAAGCAAATGCAATGGATTATCTAAAATATATTGGCAAAGTACAAAAGGGCGTAAGGTACAAACTTCCTTCACCCTTCTTATAAGGAGCATTGCAACCAGACTCAGGGAAAACCTATACATAGGGTGAAGATTAGACATCACCCAGTGACCTCACTGACACAATGAGTCTTTTTCACCACTTAACAGCATGTACATTAAACATCATTCAATAAAAAAATACTTACCAACTTGGCTCCCTTCTTGCGAGCAAGTGGAAGAGCGTAATGGGCCTCATACCATTGTCGGAAAGGGGTGGCATCAATCACAACAATGGCATTCTTCACCAATGTCTTGGTACGCACAAGTTCATTATTGGATGCATTGTAGACCACATCAATGATACGTGTCTTCCGGGTGCAGCCTAACAGGAAAAAACAATTGTGGTTGAGAACAATCATGATAATTACAGCACAGGCATAACACTAAGCAAAAGTTGACTTCAGCAGGACAATGACTCCAAGACCAGATTACATCATGAACATCAGATGACACGCAAAAGTCCATCATCAGTCATGCACTAATGAAAGAAAATACATTTCAGCTTAGATGGCTAACATATCATTGCTTCATCATTCTGATTTGATTTCCAGATATCATGAAATAGTGAATAATTTTATGATTTTATGTAAAGATAGGTCTTTGAACAACAGCAGCATCAACACACTAATGCAATTTTTGGCAAGCATTATAGGCAGAACGCCTTGCTGTCTATGACACTAGAGCATCACAATTCAGCACATATACTTGAAATCTGTCATATGACATATATGTAGGCTGTATTGAATGCTAAAAAGTAGGAAAGCTGTTTTAAGAAATGATGGGTTAAACATGTAACAGTCATGGCCAAAGGTAACCATCAATAAAAACTCATGAGGTTTTGTGGAAGCTTACTATCACCTCTTCCACAAGTGAAAATTCAAATCAAAACCCAAGTGCATTAACCAGGAAATGGCACCTTAACTGCTTAGGAATATGGATTTACCATTTTACGTACATTCAGAACCCCAAGAAAAATTGCCCTGATCTAGACGCAGGGCACGATATTTCTTGCCTCCACCTCTCACTCGAACTGTATGAATCCTCTTGGCGCCAAGCTGTGAATAGAAAGATGGGCAAGCATAATATAATGTGTCAGGTCAAGGAATACAATTTGCTTTGAAGAAGTAATGTAATCTAGCATATCAGTAAAGCTTTTCGTAAGCATACCTATCAATACCTCAACTACATTAGGTAGCACACAATACACATCCAATGATATCCTGGGTCAAATTGAGGGATGGGCATGTGTGCAGGCAAAGACATGATAGTAAACACCAGTTACTATACTACTTTGAAACCCACATTTACCCCAAACCATATACACAATGTTCTAGTTTATAGGAATATGGAACACGAGTTTCCTTCTTCCTTACAAGAGAACTACTCCCCATATGAAAACTGAATCTGATACATCTCTCTTGTTTTCTTGTGAGCTCTATTATTAATTGTAATTTGATTCCCTTAAGCATAGCACCAACAGAATTGCATAAAAGATATCACATGCAAGTACTTTATGAATAAATTGTAGTGATATAAGCTTCAGCTGAGAGAGTTGAGGGGTGAGTATAGAATGTAGAATATTAATGTACAGATAAAATGGTTAAGCTCTATGTTTACAACCTGGAGTGCATGCACAACAATTTCCAATCTGGAGAATACATGAAATGGGGGCAGCCATGAACAGAGGAGAGAGTGCATGTTTCTGTAAAGAAGAGAATAAAAGTGACTGTATCTCCCAAAAAATTACTTAATCACTTTGGAGCTCAAGACTGAGTGATGTTTCATCAGCACTAAACTGAAACTAAGGTCAGAGAAAAAGTGATAAACACAGACCAAGCACACTGAATTCCATAGGTGTTTGGACCGAGTGAGAAAGCTGAACTCCTGGGCTTTTGACACCAAATCAGCAGGTAAATAAGTGGACTTTACAAACCCTGCTAGTGCGACAACAGGTCCCACTTGAATGAGGAAGAATAGCAGGCAGGAAGAGCATAAGAAAATATACAGTACAGAGTGCATGTCTTGAAAGCACATGAAAGCTGTGGCACCACTAATTCCAGTAAACAATGATACCTGGCTGAGCATGCGAAATGGCCATTTCAGGTTGCCAGCAGGGAGCTTGACCATTACAATTGTAGAGTAATATTCCACACCCATGCTTCAACTCTCTCAGCAGAAACTGATATAAACAATTCATAAGGTACTTTTATGTGACATTTCCTCACAACATTCTGCTGGTGGTCCACTTGGGTAAGTCTTCCCAGGCAAATGATGGAGAATCAAGTGTAACTTTCATGCAAGTACAGTAATGTGTGAACATACCCAAACATTTACTCAATGTTTTGGAAATTCCATGGCCCCAAGGCATACATTCTGGGGAGATGGGGTGGGAAAGTGACTGATGTCTGTGAGTCACCCTGGGGTGGCAATTTAAACCCAATAACTGAGCTTATTGGGTGCATAATACAAATGGGATATGCAGGGAGTATGAACATAAACAGGAACATCTAAAGGGACCATGCTCCTATTTCTTGAGCAAAATCAGGTGGAAGCAACAATGGCCAATAAGATTAAAAATGAAACACCATGGCAACCTCTTGCTTCCAACAGAACAGCAATGTCTATTAGCCCTTCAAGTCCCAAGTTTCCGAAGCTGTGCACATGCTCTGGCTTGGGCTTGGAATGACAGCCCAAGAGGCCATCATGGCTATTGCACATCTTGTGAACACCATATACACCCTGAGATCATTATGTGAACACCCATGGTAAGTCTGTGCATACACAAACCAAAGACTTACATATACACCAATTGTATGGTGACATGAACATATTGCCACTCTCCCTTCCTTGTGAATTTTTTATAGAGATGATGTAAATAGCTTGCAGTAATCCTTTGTCCATCCCCTTTCTTGGTGTTTCCACACATCTGCATTGAGGAAGCTTGCACTTTTAGTTATCCCTGCAATCCCTTCCTGCTCCTGCTGCAATTTGAGTACCTCTCCTTGGTGGCATTACATGTGTCAATGAAAGCATATGGCCTGCCAGCAAAAATTAAATAAATTCCAGTATGCCATAACGCACACAATACCTTTTTTTCTTCAGTCATTTCTTTATCCTGTGATAAAAAAAACCCACTCTAGTGGATAGCATCACTACCTGAAATCAATGGAAGTGCTATAGGGGGGTGCAGATTCAATGTGAAAATGGTACACAACTCAGAGTCTATAAAAAAAAAAAGACCTCCCCAATTTAAGTCCCTTCGAGTGCCCCCCTCCCCCATCGCCATTGCCTGTGGTGAACATTGAAGTTTCACCAATTTATATTTTTAGAAAAATAAGATTGCCATTAATGCAGGTGTAAAATATGCAACATTACCTGATTGTGAGGTCAGCAGTCCAACATTTGAAACTGTTGGAATGTGGGGGAAAAGCTGGTTTTGTAGCTTCAATATGGCACTTCCCACAAGAAATTGACAAGCTGTCATAAGGTGTCTGAATCAAAACTGGCAAATATATTTTAGGCCTCCAGCCTTGTACTCTAGGTAATGCTACCATGGTGTTCACAACACATACAATAGCCATCATCACAAGTATACTTGGATGTGGGATTTAAAGGGTTTATGGCTGTGAAAATTGCCTAGGTTACTCACTTTGGTATTTGCAGGAGGACGGCCAAGTTCATACTTCCTCTTCTTGCGGATGGGCTTCCGCTTCCCACCAGTACTCCTCCTTTTATGCCAATTATCCCTGGAGATACCTGTTAGCAAAAGGACAACCATATATGATTAGACATGGTCAGATTTTACAAGTCAAAGTGGGGCAAACAGGTGAGCCTATGCTAACCCTGCTTAGGCCTCAACCTTTCCCCACGTCAGTTACAACCGTGTTCAACTCTTTGTGACACCTCTGATCTTACAGCCTATGGTCAATGATGCCACTCACATACATGTATTGACAGCATTATTTTGAAGGACAAGATGGCAAGTCCAGTGGCGTAGCCAGGTTTTCGTCAATGGGGGAGCTAAGCAGAAAGTTGGGGGGGGGGTTTACTTCTCGTCGGGGTGGTGGGGTGGACGACTAGAGTTAGGGGGGCTGAACCAAATTTGGGAGGGCTTCAGCCCCCCCCTCACTACACCACTGGGCAAGTCATCACCATTACTGAACCAAGTTCAAAATTGACCTTGGAGTTGTTAATCAGGCTGGTAGCTAATGCATCCAGAGGAAAGGCATATAGTTGGGATAAGAATAACACCAATGCTGCTCTGGACAATAGTAAATCCAGGTCAGCTGTATTGGTTAAGCATGTAACCCCCAGAGAAATTGCACACCCCCAGTCTCCAATGTTTCCAGCCAAATTCAACTGGAAACATGGCAAATCTATTAGGATTCTATTAATCTCCAACCTAACCTGGCCTAACTTCAAAAGTAACACGATATTCCTAGAGGGTACACGCTTAACCATAACCCATGTCAGCCAATGTGATACTTACTATATCAATTGTAACAATGTAAATTTGTTCTGCAATTAAGCACCAGCTTACCGACTCGAAGTTCCTTTTCAATATTTCAAATCACTCCAATGCTAATGCACGGAAAGCAGCACATACCTCCACGACAGTTGGAATCAAGTAAGAAAGTGTCCAACTCCAACAGTTATACCGAAGGGGTAGGCTATTGCACGAATACGACAAAGTCTCGAAGGACGCACAAACGACCATGGTGTTTGTTAGGCACGGATATTACAATCGTCTGAAAATTTGTTGAGCTAATTAAGAGAACCTATCAAGGTCACAAGAAAGCCACTCTTATAGCCAATCTCAACTACATGAGACGGGAGTCTACGGTCCAAGATTCAAATAAGGCTTTTCTACGGATCCATTGAGATGCAGCCTTCTTCACGATCGGGAAACTGTTAAGCTTTATCTAAATACCCTGCTTAAGACAGAAAGAATGAACAGGGAGCGTGAAGTGAAGCTCATCAAGGAAAATTGCAAGGAGGAACTAAAGAAAAACTCACCCATCCTCACCGCAGACACAGCGGAAAGGAAGTGACGTCACTTTAGCCTGCGACCGACATTGAGAAACCACGGATGTCACACGACTGTATTTATCGAAATTGTCACGCTCTACTATAACGGTCCCTCAGAATCGATACGAACCGAAAATTTGCACCGCTGAGAGATGAACTAAATGAATAATTTTAAAGTAATAATAATCAGCCCCAAGAAGAGGTATTTTCAGGTTCGCATGATGTGGATTATATGAAACTACCCATGCCATCGAGCAGCCAGGGAGTGTTCCATTGAATGCCATGTGTTTCTTGCGTGGGTCTGGAAGGTGGCCTGCATATGTCCTTCTCTGAAATGCTGATTGAGAACAATGATGTTTCGGTCTGTCAGCGTAGGACTAGCCAAGCATTCTCTGAACACCGGACGGATTGACAATCTATTTCCCTCACGGGGTAACATTCAAGGTGGTCTTGGAAGGACTGCAGGCATTGTTCGGGTTGGTACCCTACTATCATGGCCCTAAACTTAAGTTCATGGCCTATATGACCTAATATTGCCTGATATCTAAAAAACTGAGTCCCATGCTTGATTTTGGTATAATAATTGCAGGAGTTCTTCATTCGAGAAGCCTCTTTGGTCGTCGAAGGAAGATTAACAAGAGGACTTCCTAAGGAAGTAAAAATAGTGGAAGTCGGTCCTCGAGATGGCCTCCAGAATGAAGCCAAGTTGGTTCCAGCTGGAGTAAAAATTGATCTGATTGAGAAATTGGCTGACTGTGGCCTGAAGAATATTGAGGCTACAAGGTGAGATACTTTCAAGTATTCAGTCTACTTGTGAATGCATTTTATCATTTGGTGGAGGATGCCCCAAAATTTGGTTAGACTTTACCATAAGACATTGTCTCTAGCATCCAAATGTTCATAGAATATGTTTGAAATATCCACTCTTACCTTCCATATAATTTTGCTGATGCTTTGGCAGTTATGTTGAACAGCCCAAAATATACCATTCCAATAAAAACTTGAGCAGTGGGGTGTCCCTGGTACAGAAAAGAAAATTGCATGGAATCCTGAGCTCTATTTCAGGTAGTGCTACATATGCCCCCTCCTCCTCAACCCCATTCCAGCTGGAGGGCATATTGTCCTCCTTAACTCCTTGCTGAAGTATATTATAGTAGCAAGAAAGTATGTTTTTAAATCACCCCACATAGGACTCCTTGTTGAGACCCAGTTTTTGTTCTTTTGACTCCATAAAAAATCATAATCACTCTGACCAGATTTTCTCTGATTTTGATATTTGGTAGATCCATAGGGTTCATGGAGAAACTAATCTATTTCAAGTTGTTGGCCTCTTAGGGGAAATTCTTTTTGAGGTACAGTGATTTGAATATTGCCCAAGTGCATTTTCCAGTCTATTGATCACCCAAGATCGCCCATGAGTTTTGTACTAATTATCTTTTACAATTAACTTTGAGCTAAAATTAGTGACTAATAGAAGCTCTTTTCATGATATGCATTTCATGGAGTTTAATTGCATTACATGTCAAGAGTTGTGACCTTTGACCAAGAATTTAATAAATAAGCCATTTATTAATTTGTTTGCAAAAATAGATATAGACATTTTTTCCTCTATCAACACAACAAATTTCAATTTGGGACTGCAATTGAATCAAGAGATTCCAACTATAAAATACACTAAGAAATCACATATTGCTGTCAAGTTGTCTATAAACAAATTATGCTGTGAAAGTTGAGTGAGAAGTTAAAAGATTATAATTATCAAACCAAAAATAGGCAAAATATGAAGACACCCTACTTTTCCTATACCTTGAGCTTTTCTGTTGTAACTCAACTCTTTTCCCATCAGAATGTAAGCATGTCCAGCCCAAGAACCACTTTTGTCACCTGTGAGACTGTCAAGAATTTTCCTGTTTTGTTGACTATGTGAAAGATCCAATGACCCTTGTGGACTGGAAAAGCTCCCCTTCAATTCCTTTTTCTCATTTGCTTTGAGAACACATGCTATCCACCACTTTCTGCTGTGAACACATAATGAATCATTTGATTTATTCAAATGCAAGCTCATCTCTCAGGACATTGACTGTTCTTTTGAGTCAGATATCAAGTGATACACATAGGTAGATACCATTTTTTTCACGGGGATGAATGAAATTAATTTTTTTGCTCTGCAAATTGTGTATGATTGCTCAAATAATTCTTCCAGGAAATTTCTCTCTCTCTTGTCATCATCCAAACTGCTGAACTTAAAGCAAAACATTGGGTTCTTCTTAGATGCCCATTCACACAGTTGGTGAGATGTTATTAGTTGTGTGGTCATTGGAGACTGGCTCCTGCAGCTAACCTCTTCACTGAACCTCCAATTTTGTCACATGCTGTCTCTTATTGGCAGTTGGCTGAGAAGTACCACTCAGTTGTAATGCCAATGTCTGCCAATTTATTACATAAGTCCAGGAAAATTATATGGCTTTTGTAATGCACACCTGATGAATTGAAGGCTAGGACTGAGGAAGTATGGCCTCTTTTGAATAATTATTAAATTAAAAAGTCAATCAAACAATGGAAGCAGCACTTATGTGCCGCAGCTATGAACCAGAAAAGAAGAACCATCGAGCACCTTTTCTCTTGGAGTCAGTTGCACTTCCATTGCACATGCCCTTATTCCACTTCATTTGGCAAAATAGCCCTTGCTTGGGTTGTAAATGACGAACTTCATTGAAATTTTTGTGAAACAATATACATGTGTCGAGTGTGACACCCTGAAGTTTTCCTACCAATACCTAATCGTTTTCCCTGCAGGGATATCCAAACTCTTCTAGAACATCTGCTTAAATTACATCAATGCCAGGGAAAGGGCTAGCTCGTATGGTGTTCCATCTGTGGCCATGCAAAGTTTGGATGACTTTTTTTGGGGCTACCTAGTAGAGGATATGGCAAAAAAAAAGATCAACAGCTTTTAACTTGGATATCTCTGCTCACACTGGAGATACTTTTGCAAAACTTTCACTGTGCTTATTAGAATATGTTTCCAGCTGATTTTCAACATTCCATTTGAATTTTTTTGGCCAAAGCAATACAATCAACAGTTATTTAAAAGAAATTAGACACTGAGAATGGAGAAGAGCATCTGCTGGTAGCAGAGTGGAGGAAATACTTTAGTGCTTTCCCTCTTGGTCATCAAGACCACATTGAACTCAACTTCCATTTAAGTTCATTTTTTGTTTTGGTCACATCTTGCAGATGGTTTTCATGAGCTTATTCCCAATGAATGGCAGATGAATCAGTGAGTATCAATACAGGGAATTTTCTGAAAGTTCATTCAGGATTTCCCTTGGTTTACAGAAATGAGTTTGATTTGATCTTCATGATTTGGAAGGAGAGTATTCAAGTGTTGCCTATGCTCTGCTGCCAGGAGAAGCTCTTGACCATTCTCCATATCTAACTTTTTCTTTAAATAATTGCATAGTGTTGCTTTGCCCCAACAAATTCAATTGAAATTTTGATAATCTGTTGAAAAATACCCTAATTTGCACAGTAAAAGTTATGTGAAAATAGCTCTGGTTTGAGCAGAGATATTTAAATTAAAAGTCATTGGTCATATTTTTTGGCCATATCCTGTATTCGAAAATTGCAAATATCTAAAATTGGTAAACTTCTGCACACAACCTTGACATTCCCAGATGGCACTTCTTGTTCTCGTATCACTGAAGGCACATAATAAATGTTGGTGTTGAACCTCTGCATGTTTGAGCTGTTGCCAAGTCATAAAAATGCTGAGTGAATCAATGAGTCTGGAAAGGAACATCTTCCCATGAATCCATGTCATGCTGCAAAAATTGTGAATGAATGGATAGGCCCCTCCTGAAAACTGGTTTCAGTTCCATCCCCAATTGGCTATAACTACCTTTCATTGTTTAAATTAACTTAAGTTAATTAGCTGTTTTAGCAAAGCAGAAAATGCTCAATCTGAAGGCCTGGAAACCATGGCAGTATCATAACTCACTATAAATTGAATTCAATTTTTTTACATATCATTTTATAGCTTTGTGAGTCCTAAATGGGTCCCTCAGATGGGAGATTGTGAGCAGGTGCTTCGTGGTGTCAGGAGAATCCCTGGCATTACATATTCAGCCCTTGTGCCCAACATGAAGGGATATGAGAAAGCTCGTGGTCAGTCACATCTGCCCTTCATGGCTGCAATGTTTGATTCTTGTGAGATTAGGATGAGTTACTGAAATATTGGTTCTCTCCCCATTTGCAGCCCTTGGTGTTGAAGAGATTGCTGTCTTTGGTGGAGCCTCAGAGACATTTTCCCAAAAAAATATAAATTGTTCAGTGGAGGAGTCCATCAAACGATTCTCTGAGGTTGTTGAAGCCGCAAGGAAAGATGGAGTTCGTGTTCGGGGGTATGTTTCGTGTGTTGCTGGGTGCCCTTATGAAGGTCACATATCTCCATCAGCTGTGGCAAAGGTGATTCACAAGCCTGAACATCAAAATTCTTCAATTTCTTCAAAAGAAATGGCTGTGAAATCCTTCAATATGTAATGCTGTTTTTATCAGGTGGCATTGCAGCTATATGAGCTTGGATGTTATGAGATCTCCCTGGGTGATACCATTGGAGTTGGAACCCCTGGGACCATAGCTGCCATGTTACAGGAAGTGCAGAAGCATATACCATCTCATGCATTGGCTATTCACTGTCATGACACATATGGCCAAGCCCTGGCCAACATCTTCATCTCTTTGCAAGTGAGTGCAGGAACCACCCTACCCATAGCTAAGAAATACAGTCAACTCTCGATAACTTGAAGCTCAAGGGAAATTAGAGTTAACAAAAATTTGAGTTATGGAGATTTTTGGATTCTATGCCCCTACAACGTTGTACATGAAATATCAATACAATTCTACGAGCTTGCAACACTAACTCATTTTAATGTATTCGTTTGAGACATCAGTCAGGCGAGTTTGGCGCATTCTCTTGGAAGCCCAACGATTGATATTTGTGTCCGTATGGGGTTTTCGAAGGGAATCGAAGTAACTTCGAGTTATCAAGAATTGACTGTATCAGGAGTGGGATACCTGGATGCATTCCTCCAAGTTGGGAATAATCATTATGAACTGGTGTTTGAAGCCCTTAGAATATGGACAGGTATAACATAATATAGACCTGTGTGTCTCTTTTCACAGATGGGTATAGCAGTGGTAGATACATCAGTCTGTGGTCTTGGAGGATGTCCATATGCAAAAGGGGCATCTGGAAATGTTGCCACTGAAGATGTGGTGTATATGCTGCATGGATGTGGCATACATACTGGTGTGGACCTGAATAAACTCATCAAAGTGGGAAACTTCATCTCAAAGCATCTGGAACGAAGTGCTGGGAGTAAAGTAGGCCTGGCATTGAAATCTAAATTATGAACATCTATGTGACTGAGCAAAATGTATAGGGTATAGTTTGAATCCTGAAAGTGTGTTGTGTTTACTCAGATTTATTACTGTCTTTTGGAAAGCATTTCATGATCTATACTTATTCCAGTTCTTAGTCCTTTCTCAGGATATAAAATTTGAGATGAAACTCTGGAGAAAATGAGCTGGAAATGTGAAGGACTTCAATTTGAAGCATCAGAGGAATGAAAGGGAGACTACCATATACATAATTGATTGAAGAAAGATGATGGTCAACAAGTTTTTTCAATTGCTATGCTAGAAGCACTTTTAGAAAATGTTTGAAGAGGCTGGGGATAATACAACACATCTGCTCATATTCTAAGCTGGAAATCAGACTCCACCTAGGTTCTCACTACTAGGGCTACTAGTTTCTGGATGCAGCCTTTTGATACCTCTCAGGCTGTGAAATTTTCTTCCAGTAAAGTCAATCAGTACCAGCCTATAAAAAAAATTCAAAGAGTTAATTGTTGCCTTGAATCAGTTTTATAATTTTTTATTGTTATATTCAGGGAGTATCTGATTTCAAGATGTATTTGTCACATGAAGACCTCTGAGCAATGATTTTCTATTGCTTCAAAAGTGGACTCATCACAGAGTCTTTAATGCCTGCAACAGGCCTTTGGAGAGAAAGCACCATTTCATAGTACAATATTTGGGTGGTTTGCAGAGTTTCAGAGGGAAGGGTGTCCTTGAAGGACAGCCTGCCACTAATTGCAGTGACAGATATGGCCATTGTGCAGAAAATGGTTGAAGACTATAGAATTGCATATGGAGACATTCAGGCACAACTAGGGGGTTGGGTCAGTAGCAGTGAATGATACCCTGCACAGATAGCTTGGTCTGTGGAGGGTCACCAGCTGATACCGTCCCTCATAATCTCTCCTCAAGTGAGAAGGAGTCCAGGGTGGAATTCATGCTCCTCAAGTTCAACACAAGGTTTTCAAAAGCCATCCATGACACCATCATGGGAAATGAAACCTGGGTATATCAAAATTTGACCCAGAAACAAGGCACCAATCCACTGTCTGGAGCTTTTCCCATGTGACCCCATTCCTTTTGGAGGGTCAAAAGACTGACCTTGAAATGGTGCACAGAATCCTGCCTCCTAAGATGTTCAAATCTCTGAAGAATTGAAGGCCAGTCATAATCATGGACGCTCCATTGGGACAATGCATCCTGTCACACAGCTCCCTTCACATTGGATTTTGTGCATTAGTCTGGCGGCAGGGTGCTCCCAGACCCACCATACAGTCCAGATCTGGCCCCATGTGACTTGTTTCTCTTTCCAAGAGTTAAAGAATCTGTCTATGGACAGCATTTTCTGTCTCCAGAAGAGGCAGTTGCTGAAATTTATTTCAATAATCACAGATATTCCAGTGTCTGAAAGGAAAAACTGCTTTGAGAAATGGTTCACAAAGATGAGAAATTTAATTGATGCTCAGGGAGACTACTTCAAAAAGGTGCAATGATTGAATAAAACCAGGTTGTTTTCTGTTTGCATCCAGAAACTTCCAGAGTGACTCTTGTATTGCCAACAGTTTTAATTTATTCGTGGTATGAGGGTTTCTGGAGGCAATCACAAAGGCATGGATGGAAGTCACCTTTTCCAAATTTTTAACCCTGGGTTTTTCAGGCTTTTATCTTGGAAATATTTCACCTTTTTCATTATAATATTTATCAAGTTTCATTCCTTTTCCATACTTCCAGATATTCTGAGAGGGACTTCTTTCCCCCCAAAATCTTATTTTCAACACAAGAGCCCACCTCTGGCTGGATGCTGGTTCCACCTCTTCTATTATGTAGTGTGGCTTTATTTGGCATGACTCAGGAAGTACGAAGTCAAATCCTACAAGGTTTCAATTCAATTGTCAATGACAGCCTTGCTGCATGACAAAGGACCATTAATGGAAGGGCATAAAATCACACTGTGCTCCCAAAGAAATTTATTACTGAATTTCCCTATAGCCCTGGAAAGGGCTCCATTGTTGACATCAGACCAGTCTGAAAACAAAGATGCAACCTGATCCTAACAGGATCACATTGCAAAAATCCTCTCAATAACATTACTGCCATTGAAAATGAATAATAATCTGTTTTTAGTCTTCTTTTGACAGGATAACATATACTATATTTACAGTAGCAGAAATGAACTTATCTAATGCTGGTAAATGTGCCAGCTTGGCATCCTTGATCCAAAGAAAGGGCAAGTATCACAATGACCAAATTGGATTGTGGGGTCTTATTCACTCTCACACACATCAAAAGACTTCTTCCACAAAGTACCATTGACTTCATAATACAAGTTCTATGCTCAAAGGAACCAGAGAGAAGGAAATGAGAACTGCACCATGGACAAAGGGATCTCACAATGGACCTGTAGGTGTTCTTATCTTGCTTTTAAACTTCATGTTATTGCAGATCAAGGGAGGAACTGTATGCTTCAGGTTGTTTTCAAATTTAAGGCAGTTTGGGACAAGATTCTTCCATAGTGCATTTGAACATGTTATTTTCCCAAGGAAATGCATCAAATCTGTATTTTTTTTTTTAGCAACTTGCACTAACAAAGACAAATGAAAACCATATGGGGGCCACTGAGGATTAAAGAAACAAACTAGATTCATACACATGGAAAACAGTTGGGGGTGGTTCCGTGTTAAGCAGCCCATTAGTTCACTTATTATTCAATCTGGATTCCATATGCATCTTAAAACACCATCTCTTGCTCTAAAATGTGTCATCATTCTTCCAGGCTGTCTCTAGAATACCCAACTGTTCTTATAACATCATCCAGAATACAGTAGTATGGATGAAATTGCTGAATATATTAGGCATATGTCAGCATTGACAGAACTATGATCAACTGCAATGACTCATAGTGCACTGGAACAGGAAAGAAGACTGACGGGTAAAGAAGCCATATGGTGATCATTTCAGAGTGAGGCTTTCAAATATGCAGAAATATGAAAGTGTGCTGCTCATCAAATGACTACCACAGAGGAGGGATGATTCTATCATTTCCTTTTCCCTCTTTCAGATACCAATGCCTCTAAAAGGACCACAGGTAGAAAATAATTTTGCCTCAATGTCATCTTTCCAGGTTGCATAACTCTAAGAGACAAGATACAGACCTTTGTAGGAACACAATCACAGAAATCCACAGACTTCTTGCTTAGCTGCATTTTCATGGTAGGAGATTCTTCTAGTATTATAAAGTGAAAATCCTGGAAATTCTGAATCCTTTGCTGAATTAAAAAAAAATTAAATCTGATGGCAGGAAGAGGCTCTATTCCATGCATCCTATACAGAGCCAGGTTGATGAACTCAGCTCCACACAAGCAAAGTACTGCTGGGAATGCTATGAGATGCCCTGCAATGACCGCAAGGAGAGACAGAAAGAAAAAAAAAAAACAAGCTTAAATTTGGCAACCACATATCACCATCTCTGACAACTCCTCTGGGATGGAGACTTAAGACTCTTGCTACAGATACAACAGAAGCCATCAATCCCTAGGGTTGTGCTGTTCATGAATCAAAACAGACAAGGGTAGGTGGGAAAATGGAAGAGGCTGAAGTCAATTAGATGACTGCTGGAGGTCAGAGCAGGAATAGGACGTCTTGAGTTCGTTGGCCTCTGCGACAGGTGAGCTGGGTTCGCTCAGGAATGGGACATAGAGTTTCACTGTCTGAGGGGCAGAGATGTTACTAATATAGACAGTATGAAGGGCAGGATCTGCTAACTGGTACTCTTGTTCCTCCTCCATGACTGGATGATCATCAATGAAGGAGACATTGTCATCAAACCGTACACGTTCTGATACACCATCCTCTCCCTCACCTTCCCCACTTCCCATACTCCCAGCTGACTCACTCAACTGCAACAACACAACATTGCAATATAATATCAAGATAAGTTGACAGTCTTGGGGCACACATCCAAATCTTAAATCAAGATGTAGTCATTTGAACACACAATAAACCTTGTCAAAGACAAGTGTTAAAACAGCTCTCAGAATTATTGAACAAGTTCAACTCCTAATTTATTTCTTTAAAAAAAGGTGTAGCAAGTGCCTATGAATGATATAATGCATAAATGTATATTGCATTAGTTTCAGGATCTGAAAGTATTCTCCAATTTTAGGTTATCAGGTTCCTGCTTTTTACAAATTGGAAGATTCTTCACATGGATCTCCTCTCACCAAAAGTATAGGCATTTCAAGATTGAGGAAAAGCTTTGTCCTACACAATTTCAGTAATTAAAGTAGGTTCTTGCCCTCCTAGCTATGAGCTCTTCCACAACTTTATACACAACCTTCCATCTGGCATTTCATCATCTCATGAGATTTACCAAGAACAAGGTAAAGAATTAAGGAAAACCAGGAGAATATGGACCAACATTCCACCAGGAAACACCAGAGTTGTTGGCAGCGGTGCAAATCTACCTTATGATATCCTATACACAAGCATCAAGATGCTGCAGTCATGTGTTTGAACCTTATTTAATCAGCAGACAGGGTCATGCATAATAGGCAACAATAAAAATATATTCAACTGGATGAATGCCATGATCATGATGAATCTTTAACAATACACAGTCAGAACTTCCTGTTTAGATTTTAAATCAACTGTGTATGAGAGCAATAAAAAATGGAGGAAAAAGAAAACTTCCATCACAAATCAATCATAAGAACAATACATAGGGGTAGTGAAAAGTAGTACCTGGCGGTGAATGTGAATCCTGCGACGTGTGCTTCTCCTTCCACAGCTGACAAGGATCTCATCTCCAGAGAAACTGGAGACAGGACTCAAAGAAGGAGGGTGCGGAACAGTGTCACCACTTCTAACACTCATGGAATCCAACCGCATGTTAGTTGAAAATGATGTTTCCTCACTTCTCATGCTCAAGCTGTCCACAGGTGTTCGGCTAGTAGTCTCATTCACCAACTAAAACCCAATTATTTAAAGTGCTGCTGAAACAAGACACACAAGAGAACACTTAGAATGTGGATAGAATATTTACTCACCTTGTATGAGAGGACAGAGCCAGCTAAAGCAACATTACTGGCCCTGTCTTCTGGCACAGATACAATGGCTGAATGACGATCTGACACACTTCCAATAGCTGATACGCTCTCGCTACTGACTGAGGACCTCTTATGTGGCTCATATGTGGTTGACACATCTGCCTGGACCTCTAACCTATAACATAGACAGTAAGAAGATCAGTAAGATTTGTTTTGACATTTTTTTTTTATACAGAAATTTGAACTTGCATGATTTGTCATACCGGTTGTGTAGAGCACTGGAAGCAATGCTACCACCAAGAGCAGTGACACTGGCACTTTCTCTATCAGCAGTCTGCATGCTTGAAGCATCTCCCATGCTGAGACTCAAGGAGAGCCCAATGGAAGCTTCTCCAATTGAAGGATTCCCCACACGATGTCCAGTATCCACACTCTGAGTGTCTGATAAAGATGCCATCAAAGCCACCTCAGCATTGTGTTAGTAATCATTGCATACATCAATCAAACTGAAGCTTCACTGACCATGAGCACGTGAACCAAAAGTTCCCAGCACATCAGATGGGTCTTCTTCATCAAAGTCTAGCTTAACACCTGATGGAGAGGTGGACACACCACACATGCCAGCTCGACACAGGGAAACAGGTACTACTCCATAGACATAGGCAAGCAGAATTGGGACACCAATCCCAACAGCAAGCCCAGCCATGAGTGGTGATATCACAACCTGTAAAGCATCCAATCCAATCCCCATAGAGATTCCAGTTTTAATTCACAAAATACTGTCAGCTCCAGGCTTTTTAAGAAATACCTATGACCAGTACAAACCACAAAACTGATTATAGACCTACTGCATACCTACATACTTTCCACAGGAGATCAACAAAGAAAAATTGAACTCACAGCCCATGAAACGCCTCCAAAAATGGCCAGGTTCCGTTTGTGCTTATTTGAATGCCTGTACTTCTGGTATATCTTCCTTCCAACCCAAACAGGAATGCCTACAAGGAGAGAGGAAACCAGGTTCTTAACAATGAAATACATGAATGAAGAGGAAAGAATACAGAGCATCTGGCAATACCTATGACCATAGCAGGTACTGCAATTCCAGCCACAAGAGCTATGCCAATAGGGGCTCCAATCAAAGTCCCAATTTGCCAGAGGATCTTCTTCTTCCGTGACCAGGGCTTCTTTCCCCAAAAGGTGCATCCAGATGGGCTAACAATTGGAGTTATCACTCTGCCTCAGTCAGAATGCCCACAAGAAGCACATGAACAAATCTCTACAACTCACCTCAAGTAGTGAAGGTCAGAGATTTCCTTCATGCAAAGCCAGCAAAACTCAGTGCCACATACACTACAAGTCATGTGATTGCATGACCCATCATCTTGCTTCATGATGAGAGCCTGGCATCGAGGACATGCCTTCACTAGCTCTCCTGGTTAATTGCATGGAGAAAAAATGCATACAGCTACTAGTACTGGAACAGAAAAGGAAACAGGTGATAAACTCACTCAGGACAGATGGGTCATATGAGAAGCTGAATGTGGATGAAGTGCGAAAATTTGGAGATCGAGCAGCTCGGGCACTATCACAAGTTTGATTTGGGTGCCAATAGGCCTTGCAGTGATAACAGAAGGAGGTGTTGCATCCTGGTCGTTCACAATGTAGCTTTGGGCAAGATGCACAACCTGCTGCTATCACTGCAAACCTGAACAGTCAAAGACAAGATGAGAATATGCCCTAAAAGAAAAGACATACATTGTATTAACATGTTCACTACTGAAGATGGGTCAGCTAACCTCTCCTTGCCAAGCATGGCAGTGGAGGTTCACAGTGCCAAACATGCCACGTACAACAGTAAAAGTATTAATGTACTTTTCATTTGGCTCAATGGGAATAAGTTCAACTAAGTTGAATGACTATCAGTCAACCATGCTATAAAATTCTAAAATTCCATTAGAACAGTCAAGCTTCATGTGATTCCATGGAATCACATGAAGCTTAATTGTACTAAAGGAATTTTAGATGTGGTACAGTTATTATCAATTGCATAACCCTAAATTCATTGATGTGCTTTTTGTCCCATCCTTGCCAATATGGAGTTCTCAAAGAACACCTGCTGCTCTTGATGCACCAAAGTAAGAAGCAGTCAGACACAAGGATAAGGAAGCATTCATGGCACTAGAGCAACTGGTTGAGCAGGTTTCATGTTTTACTGAACAAAGCACACAAAAAATTGCAGGTAATTTTATATCTATTGATAGCTGCATAAATGATCCTTTTAAGACTTCCAGTCTTCAGGGGTGCCTAATTTTCTATTGCATCTAATTATTATAGAGATTGATCAAAGAAGGAACCTAGAGGTGCATCACACAACAGTGACCCATGTACTGAAATAACTAGGCTACACTTGAACCAGGATTGAACATGTTCCCCAAATGAGCCAGAGCAGCAATCCTAAAATGGCAACCAATTGCTTTAACCCTTCATGATTCAAATTTGAAATATAAAATACATAAAAACCATTTTTCTCATTCAACAGTCCATAATGAAATGTCATAGACCACAAAAATGCAAATGCAAAAAAAAGGACAGTGACTAAAGTCCTGCTAGGCCTTAAGGTTATGCATTCCTGTATAGCCCTATAAAATATGGAAAAAAAAAAAACAGGACTCCTGGGTCCCACCAGGCCTGAAAGGGTTAATTTGAATGAAAGTTCCAATGGTTAAATGGGTAACTTGACCAATGCTTACTTTATGAAACAGTTATGAAAAGTAAAAAGAAAACAAGCACTTAGAGAGACAAGAGGATACTCAAAATCACTGAAGAGTATGGCAACTGTCTGAACATGTCTTTCCTAAGAGGGTTGGTTCATAATAATGATCTGTGATATTGCTCATAAATAATTCACTTAAAATTGCATTTGATCAAGACAATTATATTTTTCACATGAGATGAGTTCAAATGTCAAAATTTCTACAGTCAGCATGTCATTCAATTTTCTGTACATTCAAGATTGAATTCTACCTTCTGAATAAAAGTTCACCATACAGTATTCCTTGCCTTTGGAAACAAATTTCTGCCTTCAGTCCTTTCACTGTGAAATGCACTCAGCCCCTTCTGTCTTCCAACCACTGGGTGTGGTCCCAATAGCATTAAAGCACATTCTCTAAAAATTAGGGTTTTCATAATGACAGCTTTGAAAACATTGATGCATTGACCAGAACAATCAATGGCACATCAGGGAAATTATTTACTGACCCTGATACCTTACCTTCTAATTCCAGTTCTGAGTAATTTGAACCAGAAAATAAAAATATAAAGCTGAGTTAAATGGAACAGGTCCATATGAGGCCATATATGCAGCTAATTGCAAAATGATACCTGGTGTACATTAATGCTTGCTCTTCTCTTTAAGGAAGCACCCAATGCCAGTTCGCAAATAGCTTCTCAAAATTTTGACTTTGTTACTTTACCTCCCAAAACACCATTGCATCCTACAAGGAGAATTCTGATTCGCTTGAAAACTAGTGATTAAAAAACTCCTACTGTCTTGACTCATGCTGCCATCTCTCCCCAGTTAGATGCACAAATGTTGCTCAATGCCAGGCAAACCAGACAAAATGAGGTCATAACTTACGTGCAATCAGGTGCTGGGCACCACCGTGTGTCAGGATCAAGAGCAAGGACTCTTCGCAACATGAATTCCTCATATTTTGATATCAAGATATCATCTTTGACAGCACGCTGTACATCTGAAAAAAAAAGACAACATATAAGAATACTGTCTCGTTTGTTTGAAAAGGCATACAATAATGAAGATCTGACATACCATTGGGATGAATGAGTTCAGGGCACTCAAAGCAAAGGAGAATTCGAGCTTCAGAGATCTCAATGGTGAGATATGTTCGTATGCAGAGATTGCATGCCATGTGGCCACAAGTAGTTAGGGAATAGAATGCATCCATACTCACAAGCCCAAGGCATAATGGGCATTCCAGCAAACGGGGAGGGCACTCCATCAACCGTGGACGCTGCAGGACATATATGTTCATGTTCTTATTATAACTCATACAAACATACACATGCCAATTCACAACACACTGAGCTATTAAAAAACCCACCTTCTTGTCTGCATCCAAATATACAGGATGAACATCAGCTGGAGATAATGTGCAAGTGCGATCAGATGATTCTCTATCTGACCGATTTTCCCATTCCACATCTCTAGACGGTCTCTTCTTAGATGAAGCATGCTCTGACAAATAAAGAAAGAATACAATTCATTTTATATAAATTTACATAATATGAAATTCAATTGGTGAAAGCCAACTATAAGCTCTACAGTAAAGTCAAAATCTTAATGTGATTGTATACCCTCTCAGAATCAGAAATAATTTTTCAATGGATACTATAAAGTAAGGAAGGCTAGCAGGCCAAGGTTATTCTAAACTGAATACCCTTCCTATTGCAAACTGTGTACAACAAGGAGACATGATGCATCACAAAGACCAACTCCATAATATATCACTGATAAAGCCACTAGACTCAGTGAGTAAGGACCATCTCCAATGATGTACTAGGATCCAATCAGATGCAAATGGGTTACCACTTTGAGACCCATACCAGTCATGACAGTTATACTCCATAGTACATGTAAACCACTGGATTGAAAGTGTTAAAAGCTGGTCTCCAGGGCTTTCTGTTCAAAGATAGTCATTCTCCTCTCTAGGCTCCTTTGACAGCTTCCTCCATCTCCTTCACTGCTTCTGCTGGTCTTTCTCCTCAACACTTGACTGGGTGTTTCAAGAAGTCCTACTATGGGAAAGGCTGATATGTGAGGGTTACTTTAGTCTCCAATTACAGTCGAACTCGGTTATAACGATGAAAAGCACCAGGTCCAGGTGTAGGGCCCATAAGGCACGTTTCATTTTACCTCAGTTATAGCGAACTCAGGTATAGTGAGAACCTTGGTTACATTGAAGGTCCCACTGATGAAATTGATGTTGATGTCCCTAATCTGTCATTCTTAACTGGAATTCCCATCATAGGAAAAATTAGCATTGGCAAGCAATAATGTCATCTTTCCTGGATTCTGCATTCCTTGAGTCGTGGGTGTGACTGGAGGAGGGCAAGGGAGGGATGTAACTAAAAAGATCATCTTATCTTCAGTTGCCATTGCATTTCTCGTAAACAACATGGCCAATGGAAAGCGAAAGAGGCAAGCCTTCACGATTGAAAGGAAAGTGTGCACGATTAATTTAATAGGAAATGCTTTAAGTAAAGACTAAATCCCCCTAAAAAAACATAGATATCTGTTCATCTGTTTCCACAATTTCGGAAAAATGTGACAGCTTCATCCGTGCTTACGAGAACAAGTCACAAAACAAGAAACTTCGTAGATCTGTCAAGATGACGTCGATGAGGCATTGCTAAAATATAAAGAAGTTCAAGGTCAAAAGAAGTGCAAACATTACAATTAGATCCTGAAACTGAAGCTAACGTGGCATTACCGATGTACACCGGAGTTGTAACGTTATATAGCATCTATTTTGAAAGCAGGAAAAGGGAATGTCGATAGAGGCAACCTTGGCTTTAACAAACCTCAGTTATAACGATGATTTTTCCCTGATCCCTTTGATGACATTATAAACGAGTTCTACTGTAGTTGCTTCTGCCAGTGGCTGATTGGCTACCCTTGTACAGTCAATCTCAGGCTCCTTTGCAGGAGAAGGGAGTGCCCTGGTGAGACCACTTGAATGATCTCATTTGTAAGAGCTTAAGAAAAATTAGGGTTCAGTCAAATTGGTGTGCCCAATTGTGCAGTCCAAAAGTGCATCATTTGCATAACCCATACACAGTGGTGTATTTTACAGGGGGGCAGAGGGGTCAGCTGCCCCCCCCCCCCTGGCTCCCCCTTGGAGGTAATAATTTCCCCACCTATCATCCCTCGGGTGGGGTTTGGCCCCCCCCCCTGTTGCCCTCCCCCCCCCCCCCCGACCCCTCAGCCAAAATACGCCACTCCCCATACATATCTCATGTACTTCACCAATGGCATCCACATACAAAAAGACAAGTTTCTGGTGGAAATTAATCCACAAAGAAAATGACAGTGCCAATTCAGTGTACATCTCCAGACCAGATATGCTTCATACATTTCCCTCTACATAAATCACAATAACACAAAGAATTTCCTTCAGAGGCCCCTTCTTTCATACAGCATGGTGGATTTCTGGTTTAGTGTTTCTCACTAGACTTGTACACTTGGGTATTCCTCATGCATAGGTGTTAAAGTCAAAGTTTAAAAACCTGACTCAAGAGAAAAACAATGTAGAAACTGACAAGCAGTTGGTTTCCAGGGGTATAAGAAGAGAGCACTGCCTAGATCATTTGAACTCCCCATATCCTGTATTTCCCTTTAAATTTCATATTCCCTCAGTAACTTCTTGCCAACCAGGCCAGCATATCACCATGAGCAATCAGTAACCTTTCATTTTAATATCAAAAATATTTTTCAAAACTCAGAAAAACATAACCACTGATCATTTTACTTTGCCAGAATCAGGGCTCACCTTCAAATGTAGGGGGAGGATGTGAAGGTTCCTGCTTTCCTTGCAGAAGTCGCCTCCTTTGTGGGTTCAAGAGTGGGCTGTAGAGAATTTGTTGGAGAGAGAAGCGGCTTCTCAAGCTTCCCTTCTTCCTTGATGACCCTTTCCTGAAGCCTTTTGGCGAAGAGTCTTTTTTGCTCTTCCATCCAGATCCATCTCCTTGCATTCTTTTTTTAGAATGTTCACAGTTTATGGAACTAACTATTTTTTTAGTCCAGGATGTCCAACATCAAGGCCAGAGTTAAGAAAACAGCACAAACTGAAAAGCACCTCCTACAAATGATAGTTTTATGTATTTATCATGACTTCAGAAGCATCCTTTTCTGAGGCATGACATAAAATTTATGCATATCTAATGAACCTGGAAGAAGAAATGCAGATAAAACTTACCAAACTTATTACTTTCATTTCAAATTTACCACACCCTGATTTACTTCAGGCATATCATAGACAATGTTTCCACTGTAGGCTAGGCTGACCACCTTTCCTTCACCTTACGGGGCACACTGACAAACATTTTTAAGATCATATTCCATGAATAAGGAAAGGTGATCACACAACTTTAGGGGTGACATGCACTGGATCTGTTTAAGATAAACTCATCTGATCTCACAATGGTCTCCAATGGGAATCAGTTTAACAGAGATTAACTTATTCCCATGGATGCACATTATGAAAATGAATCAATTTAAAGTTAAATCAGGTGCATGTCACTCTAGATGCAGAAGAAATCACTGATTAACCTTAGGTAGGCTTCCTGCAGGCAGCACTTTGAAATCTCAAAGTGCTAGCTAATCCCTCAATAATTCTTTTCAAGTTTACTTTCCATATATTTGACTGATACCTCCTTCCCTTGTGACACTTTACATGGACCAAATCCTTGAAGACTGAACTTCTTAAGGCATATTTGTTTATGCCTGCAAGCAAAAACGATATGGCATCCCCAGCACCAACTAGGATAATACCTCATGGTAAGGCAATTCGGCTCAATCTACGTTTTCCTAATGACTTCGTTGGAGGCTGAAAGTTAGATCTAAGTCCATTCCCAACTTATCCAATGAATCATAGGCCTGGTAACGAAACGACTCGACTTCCGCCATGCTTGGCACCAATCTGACATCATGATCAGAGGCTTCTACGCGTCCCGCGGGTTATAATGGTTACGCGCACCGACTTCGTTCCCCGAACGTTACCGCAGAGGAAAGCTGTTGCGGGTCTCCGGTCGGCCCGGAAACAACTCTCCAGCTGACCATGAGTGAAAACTCCTGCACTCTCAGTCTTCTCTAACGAACTGTACCTTTTCTAGCCTACCCCAGATGACACCCTGATTCGCGAAATTCATATGGGGGATTTCGGTGACCAGGTTTCAGGTGATGGTGGCGCTGGCGACATTCATGGCTGCGCCCGAAGACAGTAAGTGGGCCGAGGTGCTCTCCATGGATGATGCTCTATAATGTATCGGAGTTCCCCGCGTGAAATTTGATAATTCAAGAGAAATATGTAGAGGTTCTTCATTCGATATAACATACTCCAAGAGACAGGCTAAAAATTCGTTATATCGAGCAACCAGGGCCGGATTAAGGGGGCCCCCGAAAGAAATTAAATACGTTCAGTACAAAAAATGTATTGTATTTGCGTAAAGTAGCGGAAAGGGGGTAGGGGGAATTCCCTTGTCCCGGGACTCCCAACTTTAAGAAGTTGGGAAGAATCCAGCCCTCCGAGCATCGACTGTAATTCAATATAGCGCCACCCTCGTTATAGTGCCAAAATCGACGATAACCAACAGTGGTGTTATAACGAGGGTTGACTATATTATATTTTATTTAATGTGTTGCTTTGTTGTCCAAAGGTAGCAACCAACATTATTAACCCCCAACCTATTTAAGAGAGCAACATACATGCCATCAAGAGAAACTTCCTTATTAATGTCATAGATATCACTGCCAGCTTCAAGTGATGTCTTCACACCCACACAGCGAGATCATTTCTTCATCCTCTTTCTTAATTCCATTGCCTATTAACATTTACATAAAACAAAAACACAATGATAGCATTCAGGTTCCAGGTGGCATTTGTACAAGAGACTAAGAGAATTAAGATATACTATAGAAGTGCATCAGATGACCTTTCTTGCAGTCTGTCCATTCTCGTTTGATCTGTTCTGTGCATGGTCTAACTAGATCCAAGATGATCAAAGAGATCTATACTCTAAATTCAATATATACACAGCTTTTTTTTTTTAAATTACCAGCATTTTGAAATATTAGTGTATTCTGTTGTGAAATTTGTGAATCCTACAGGAGGTTGGATCCAAAAGTTTTGACATCTCTGCATTATGATATAATCTTGGCATGCAATACATGAAAATCAGTCAAAGCCCATCAATATGGGCTCTAACTGTAATGCTACACATGAAAAGGGCAAAGAGAATAACTTTTCAATGACCCCTGTATCAGTCTCTGGAAGATATGACCCAAGTATGATCAGATTCCAATAAACCTCGTGATGAGAAACAATGAAAGTTCTTTTTCAATAAAGCAGTCATTTAGATGGATGAGTTGCTTACAATTGCAGTTCACATGTCAAAATCTGCCCAGTAAAACCTTGAGCCTACTTAGATGAAATAATTTCAGACAAAATGATTCATCTTTCCTTGGTGTCCCTGTTGACTTTGATTTTTGAAATGTCATCCCTTATTATGAATGAATATGTATCATATCACCCAATATTAAAATAAATAAAAAACTTTTTAACTAAAGGTCAATATAATTTTTCTGAAATTAAGTTCAATTGGCATGGAATAACTAATAACATATCATGCAAACAGAGTCAATTTTGTTCCTTCTGTTTTCCAATACCACAGAACAACTGTCCTTTCAGTTGGATCTATCTTCCATGTGTCTGAATAACATCAAGTAAGAAAGAGAGAGATCAAGCATGTGGACTAATTAAGCAAAATTATGGAAGCAATTTTTAAATGTTTCCTGTGGAGTGGAGACAAAGTTCCTGTGGTCATAAAAATGTCCACTTGGAACCTTGAACATCAACATGTCTGTAGTTGAAACACTGGCAATATAGCATTGCCCTACAAATGGAAGTTGTTGCTAAAAATAAATTTGAGGAATTTTAGGGCTAATGCCCAAATGAAATCAAAGTGCAAGAAACCTTGTAACACTGAAGGTCCTTTCATGTAACTACCAAAGGGCATGGTGAATGCCATAACACATTTATTGAAAAATGTATTTAGCTGTAGTTGAAAACATCATACGTGTATTACATTCAGGATCATATGCAAACTTTGTCCCACTTGTATCAACTTTTGTTTTATCGTTGATAAGTAATGCTCATTTGAATTACAGCCAGCTTCTGATACTGGGATTATATTTTGAGAAGCCTAGGTTTCATAATGGATGAAATGGCCAGTGGCATAGTGAGGGGAGGGGATTTCAGCCCTGCCCCTCCTTCAAACTGGTCTAAATGGATTCACCACCCCCTGCCCCCAAAATAATTTCTGGCTATGTTAGAGGAAAGGCTAAGGAAATTCTAGCCTCCCTTTAATAAAATCCTGATTATGCCACTGGAAATGATTATCTTTTCATGATGAAAATCATCACAGAAGCCTTCAAAGTTCTTTACTTAGATTTTTTTTCATCTGAAGAATTTCTTGAAAGATGGTTTCAACATTTATAACCAGAAGTAAACCATCATAAATTTATTATTTCTTCATATGATGATCCAGTATTCCACACAATGAATATGGAAATCAGTCACTAAAACTTCAAGCAGTAATTATCATAAGTTGATTGGTGATTGTATTAACACATTCACGCCCAGCAACTCCAGAACACTATGGGTTTAAAAACTTAATATTACGGTTCCCAGCGTCAATGGGTCAATGCCTTAGAGCAAATCATATAGTTGAATTACATACCTGGACTTCTTTGCATTGACTGATTTGTGCATTTTGTAAAACAGGACTTGAATATTAACATGACATTAGTCATGCATTGGTGCAGATGGTGGCATTGGTGCTTCATGAATGCCAATGCTAGGCATGTCCATGTCTGCTTTGTGAAATTTTAGTCCTTGACCTAATCATAATTTGTTTATTATTCATATTTTTCTATTCACAGGACTATAATCATAAGAAGTGGTACAATCATGTTGAGGAGGCCTGCATATCAGGCATTAGGCCTTAGCCTCACCTCAGGCTCTGGTCAAGGATTGAGAAAAGGTTTGAAGACAGGTCTTAGCCGGCCTCAACAGCTTCTGCTTGAATATTTTCCTGCCAGCACCACTTGTGGAAATTTTGTGTTGCATAGGTCATACATCTGTGTTGGAAGAACTCTTGGAACCAGGTCTAGAATGCCATGTAATTTCAGCAGATCTTCATACTGGCAAGTCTCTTCTAGTTGTAAGTCTAGACCTAGTCAAGGTTGCGGGTTAATGATGCTGATTCTCATTCATTTCCTCTTACAGTCAAGATCTGGAAGTTTTGTTCAGGGGAACTCAGCTTCAAATACGATTCTTCAGCTCAGATAGTCTCCCCTCACATACCAAAGTTCCACTTCCTGCACTTTCCCCTACCATGGAACAAGGAACTATTATATCCTGGGCTAAGAAGGAAGGTACAGACCTACTTAACCCTCATTTGATTTTGTCATTCTCTTTCAAAGAGGGCCATTAGCAGGGGCTGGGCAGGTGGAGTTACACCAGCCTAGAACTTGCATTATTGCTAGTTATTGGTTTGGTTTAGTTCAATTTTTTTTTCAATTTTGGTTTAGTTCAAATTTGAGAGGTTTCCATTCAGTTTGAAATGAAGCTGTGAATCTTTGTTTACACTTTTTCCAGATTGAATTCATACCCCTCTCCCTCCTTCTCATAGGAATGCACTTACATCAATTGCAGGTTATGACATCTTTAACATGGGTGACTTCATGTATCATCATATGAAGTGGATACTCTGGAAGTTATTTCATCAACTCTCCACTTCACAGGAGGGGGTACAAAATTCATTCCAAAAACAGTGTATTTTAGTTCAGTTCAGGAGAGAATTTGGGTCATCTAGGTCTGGTTTCAATTCATTCTGGTTTTGAATTCCTGGTACAGCTATGCAAAGGCAAGGTTATACCTGGTGGTGCAAAAAAAACACATTGTGTTTGATGCCTTGTCAAATCCATTGTGGATGATCTAGGTTTGTGATATTTTCATATTATGCTGGAAGCACCACAAAATTTGTTTTATGAAAGTTTCATGTACCTAAGTTTTCTGAATAAATATCAACAGTCGCTGAAAGTGGAGTCACAAAATGGACCTTTCCGCGCACAAGGTGGATGGGCTGCTTGGATGATTTCTCTCCCTTAAGGTTATGAATAACACTTTTTACGCTAGTTCTCCTTGTAGTATTGATTCTGATGCTATGATCTACAACAGTAGTACTATTCTACGATGTGTTGAATACTAGGATGCGAGCAGGCATAAAAAGTCGTATTTATGACATCAAGGTAGAGAAATCATTCGAGCAGTCCTGAAACTCCATCCTCCTTGTGCCCGGGAAGGTCCATTTTATGACACTATTTTGAGTGACTGTCAATATTTATTCAGATACCTTAGTTCCATGAAACTCTCAGAAAAAAATGTTTGTGGTGTTTCCAACATAATGTGAAAATATCACAAACCTAGATCATCCACAACAGATTTTATAAGGCATCAAACATGATGCGTTTTTTTTGCACCACTTGGTATGTGGATATTTCCCTCTTGAGTCACTTGATATGAAAAATGTTGTTCCTTCTCCAGCTTCAATTCTTCTGATTTTATGTCAATACATCAATAACAGGACTCATGGTAATTTTTATTTGGCAATTTTCATGTCAAATATAGGCTCTAGATTTATATTTGAGCAGGATTTATTTTTGCTTGCACAAGGTCATGAACAATATCAGACTGATGGCCTTCAAGGTTATGGTCCAGTCATAAATGGCCAGGCAAAGTTGGGTTTTGTACTAAATGCCATCCTCTGTTGTCTGGGCACATAAGTGACACCTCTGGTGCTGCCATTGCTGGAACTACTTTTTACCAATTGCATCAAAGAGGATTGGTTTGATACAATTGGTTAAAGGCATATTTGACAAGTTCTATATTTTAAGATGTTATTCAAGAGAAATAATGATTTGATTCAGGTGACAAAGTGAATGAGGGAGACTTGCTTGCTGAGATTGAAACAGACAAAGCAACAATGGGTTTTGAAACTCCTGAAGAAGGATACTTGGCAAAAATCCTGGTTCCTGCTGGTTCAAAGGACATTCCCATTGGCAAGGTTTGTATTCTCCTTTCTTATATGGGCACTTAGAAAAGGAATGGAGATACTTTCCCAGCTGTTCAGCTTTTTTCATTTGGGTGCAACATTTCAGCAAACTCTGAGAGGAGAACCATGCATGGGTGTCAGAGCAATCTGAAAATGTCAGACTCTAGTTTTAAATGAGTTGCAACATGAATTTGCCCCCCATCAAGCAGCAGGGACTCAAATTGAGACTGTCTGACTTCTAGTCTCTGAAATGGACTAAGAGAGAGGTCTATCTCTGATCCTCAACCTATGTGATATATGCCAGTGGTTCCCAAACTGTGGGTCACATCCATTTTCCCAGCATAAAAAATAACTATAACCACCTCTGTTCTGGATAAAACATGCACTGTAGAAAAGGTCGATCAGTTTTCTCCACATCATAATTACTTTGAAAATACCTCGTTTGAGGTTCCAGTGGGTCGCGCAATTTTCTCTACATCAGCAAGTGGGTTGTGATTCAAGGAAGTCTGGGAACCACTGATATATGCAAAAAGCATTAATGGTGACTGAGTAGACATCAGTTTCTAGTACTTTAGAATGCCAATTGTCTTTTAGTAACTAATTAATGTCACAAATTACTGGCCATAGTATGTTAATATTCTGACCAGTCCATTTTGTACCACAGTACTGGTCATTATGGTACTATTGTAGCAGATAATATGCCATGGTATCAAAAGCAGCAAAATGGATCTCAAAATCCTAAAATCATTCATGAAGGGGGTCAGAAGAATGATGATTGTGCTGTTTCTAGATGATTTGAAATGATGCATTTTTTTACAGAAATATGTGAGACCATTGGGTCTATGTACAGAGTTGGCCAAAAAAAAGTAAGCCACCCAAAGTTTTGCAATGAAATACATATTTTTGAACAGATTAACTTGAAAATATAATAGAGTGTTGCCTAATGTATTTGAATAATAAATAAGCTGTTAAAATTTCATGTGTCTGAAACTGACCATTGTTGAGTTATAGCAGATTTTGTAGAAACTGTAAAAATTCTGAGTGAACAGGTATATGCAGCCACTGTTGGTGAGGCATGAATTCACATATGCATGGGAATTCTTGAATTTCATGCACATGCATTACATTTTTTGGTGGTGAAGCACACACTTTTGGCAACAATTTTTTTTTCTTTGTGATGATCTAAGGACAGGAACAGGATTTTTAAGCAAAAAATCAAATTTGAATTTTAGCCTCATAAAAAAAATGGATGTTGCATACCTGTTGACTCAGAATTATGATAATTTTGACAAAATATACCATGACTCAAGAATGGGTTGTTGCAGACATATGACATTTTAATGACTATTTAAGAATATATTAGGTAATGTTCCATTATATTTTTCAGTCAATTCTTTAAAATATATAGATTTCAAAGCAAAATTTTGAGTAGCTTACTTTATTTTTGGCAAGCCCTGTACAAGGGGAGGTCAGAAAGTCTGATTAATTTTAATCAAGGAAGACATGTAATATTTTTTCTTCATTTTCTCTCGAAAGCTTGTTTATTCACCATTTCTCCACATAGTCACCACCAATTTGAAGGCATTTCCTGAGGCAGTGCAGCCATTTTTGGAAGCTCTCCACAAATTCTTTTTTGAGCTTTCCCAGCTCATTGTTGACAACTTCAATGACATCATTTCGGGTGTCAAACACTTTGCTCACACTAAACACTAAACACTAAACTCAAGGAGCCCTTGTGTGGAAGAGTATTTGACACCCGAGATGACATCATTGAAGCTGTCAACAATGAGCTGGGAGAACTAAAAAAAAAATTTGTGGAGTGCTTCCAAAATTGGCTGCACTACCTCAGGAAATGCATTCAAATTGGTGGCAACTACGTGGAGAAATGCTGAATAAACAAGCTTTCAAGAGAAAATGAAGAAAAAGAATTACGTGTCTTCCTTGATTAAAATTAATCGGACTTTCCAACCTCCCCTCGTATTTATTGGATATAGATTGTGGATTTTGGAAAAATAAGAAACCTATACTGAAAGCCTGAGACAGGGTATTGTGGGTGGAATCATATAAGGGCAGATACTCACATCTGCTTCAATAACCCAATCCTTATCCCCTTTGGGGTCCATGCCCAAGTTATCTCATCTTGGTCTCATGATGAACAATGGAAAAAATGTGAATGACACTGCTGACACATTCATAATGGACCTCAAAGGGTTAAGGGCAGGATCACAGAATAAGCATAGCTATTGTCCTATTTTTCTCATCTCCACTGGCATCATGCTTCATGAGCAACTGCATGAAGGATTCATACATTCAACATTCATTAAGCTGTTTTTTTTCTTCAATACTTAAAATCCATGCAAATGCCAGAGCATTATTTTGTCTATTACATTTGCCCACATCATGCATACATGGATAGTTTCTTTTAGGGAAATGAAAACACAAAAAATCATGGAAGATGGCATTTTAAGTAAACTGATTCCAAAATATTAGAGCAATAATGTCTTTATTTCCACTGAAGATACTTTAGAGTCCTCTTCCCAGTGGAGTATGTACCTTTCACCTCCTTGGTGTTTACCTTGAAAGTCTCAGGATGGACAGTTCTGCTATAAGCATTTGTCCCAAGATAGTCTTGGGCTTGTAGTTCTTTGTGTACTTCTTGGTGGTAAGAACACATGTGTACATGAGCTCACAGTAAACCAAATGGAAAGAGAAAAAAGGGCCCTGGTGTGCAAGCAATAGGGTAATAAAAGAGCACTGAGGAGGTTAATACCATTACTAATGATAATCTGATTCTGCCCTTGATGCACTTTCATACATAAAAGATATAACTGTCACATTATGCTGTTATGGCTGTCGACATTGCTCTTGAACTATGGAATGCCATGCTAATCTGATACCTGTGAATGCACATTTTTAATTCTGCCACTTAGTCTGAACAAAAGAAACTATAAATGATTGATGATAAGAGAAAGGAAGGTGAAAGTGAGGGCTCAGGAATTGGGATTCCTCTAAGAAATTACTGACTATGAATAATTTAAATCTAGAATGTGTTTTGAATTTTTGTTGGAAGACGAATTTTGTAATTCTTGTAAGAATCTTCAGGAAATGAACAAAGGATAAGGGTGGAAAACTGGTAGGGGGAATGTAAACAAGAATGTTAATGGTCTTATTTCAATGCAAAAAGTCCAAGAAGGGAGTCCAGAGGAGAGAACATTGAGACAGTGATTTTTTTAATCACCACTGCTACTGCCTGTCACACCTGACAACTATAAAATTGATATGTCATGTTGCTCCAAGTACACACTGTGGCTTTGTTGTAAAACTTATATCATGCAGCCCTTGACCTCAGGTTCATAAAGAGTACTCCTTTAAACCTACATTTTGCAATATTACAGTGAACCTTCTGATTCCTTTCCAATATTTATGTCAATATAATTATGATCTTTTCTAGCTCCTTTGCATTCTAGTGGAAAAGGAGGAGGATATAGTTGCATTCAAGGATTTCAAGGATGAAGGTGTAGAGCTGCCAAAGAAGCCTAAACTTGAACCAGAACCTCAAAAGTTAGAGCTTCAGAAGCCCAGTGTAGCTGTTCCTTCCCCTCCACCACCAACTCCACTTCAACGATCTCAAGCTCCTCCGCCTCCTTCACCACTTCAGCCTCAAGTACTTGCTGGTGGACCAGGTACAAGGGTTTTAGCCAGCCCATTTGCAAAAAAATTGGCAGCTGAGAAAGGAATAGATTTGAGCGTAAGTGAAAATCTTTTGGTGATAGGATGGGTTCCTACTGACCATCATTTGCTCATCCCAGCAATTTGACATAAGTTATTAGGAAGTGGGAGTGGTCCAGGTGGGGTGATTCGTGCTCAAGACATTGAAGCTGCCCTTGCTTCAGGAGTTGGAGCAGCTCCCGTTGCTGCACCCGGGCCTCTTCCTACTCCTGGAGTGCCCTTTGTTGAGATCCCTGTGTCCACCATGAGGGCTGTCATTGCCAGGCGTTTGCTTCAATCCAAGCAGGTCAATCTTATTAAACATCTCTTTTATCCAAGAAGTGATGAGCCTGCACTTGAAACACCAGATGTTTTCTTTCAATCATCAAATGTTTTGTTCAGATTTATAGTGTTATAATTATCATTGCTGTCAATATTCATATTTGCAGACTGTGCCTCACTATTACCTGAGTATAGATGTTCAGATGGAAAAAATCTTGGAGCTGAGGAAGAAGTTGAATGAATCCTTGGAAAGGGAAGGATTAAAGCTCAGTGTGAATGACTTCATCATAAAGGCAGCAGCACTTGCCTGCCTCAAAGTCCCAGAAGCCAACTCTGCCTGGATGGATTCTATCATAAGACAGTGAGTTCCTTCAAGTGATTGCATTTTAAATACATCTGAATTTGGAAAACCATGGGCTACATTCACAGGTATAACTCAGTTGATGTGAGTGTGGCTGTGAGCACAGATAGAGGTCTCATCACACCCATCGTATTTGGTGCAGAGAAGAAAGGCTTGACTGGAATCTCATCTGATGTCAGAACTCTTGCTGCTAAAGCCCGGGAAGGCAAGCTTCAGCCTCATGAATTCCAGGTACTGTATACAAAACAAAAATTGGTATTCAGAAGCTTTGAAGAGGAGTTTCAGGACATGGAACTTGGATCCTGATATTTTTTCAGGGAGGGACATTTTCTATATCAAATCTTGGTATGTATGGAGTGAAGAATTTCAGTGCCATCATCAATCCTCCTCAGGCTTGCATTTTGGCTGTGGGAGCAACAGAGAAAAGGACATTGGCAGATGGAGATGAGTGAGTTTTTGAGTAATAATTCAATTGGAAACCTGAGAGAAAGTACAGTTTCAAGACAGGAGTTTGACTTGTGGTTTTTTTCTCTCTTTCAGATTGAAAGTTGGACATGTTATGTCAGTGACACTAAGCTGTGATCATAGAGTGGTAGATGGGGCTGTTGGTGCTCAGTGGCTAGCTACATTCAAACAATATTTGGAAGACCCTCCAACAATGCTGCTCTAGTCTCCCCAAATGCTATGTATTCACCATTAGGGAATATTTATGGCAACTCATGCCAAAGAGTGCAGATATACAACAAACACCCCCCTAACCATCATGTATAGTCTGGTATGTGCCATCAATCTTGCAGGAGTAGCTTTTATGCAGGGTTTTGTTTCAGGACTGCCGTGTGTTATTGTTGTTGGCCCCATTTTTCATGTGACTGAATGGTTCAGATCATGCTTTGAAAAAGGAAAGTGTCCAGATAGGGCTTCAGAAATTTCTGAAAGGCGGAGATATTCTTGTGACCACCTACCATAACTGTACCCCCATGATATTGATTGTGCTGCCAGAAGGTTCTCATTCAAGACAGAATCCTCAACTGATGTGCAATAAAAAGAAAGTCTCCATCCCATTAGCTTTTATTCATCACAATAGGTATCATACATGTCTCTTCTGGAAACCTCAGTCCTAAAAAACATCCTGATAATTCATCCTAACTGAATGAATGAGCAGATCAAGAGGAAGATGTGGAAAGATGACTACCCACAAGAAAACGCTCTTCAGAACAGGAAATGATACCACTGAACCATTTTCCTCCCTTCATGTAGGAAGTGGCAATGCTTTTGCAACCATAATGAGAATTTCCTCAGTCCTTTTCCTCCAGTTAATGATGTCTTTAGAGATCTTGCACCATTCTTCACCATGACATGGTTCTGCTTCCAAGCACCTTTTCTTCACCTCAGCTTGTTGCTCCTGCTCATGAAAAGCAACATATTGCAAATTTCATAATTAGATATGGAAGCAATACAAGGTACTCACCTCAGTGCCATGAAGAAGTTCAAACTTATAGTAGTAGCCCCATGCATCACCAAGGTCTGGCTCAATCTTTACAGTGCGCTGAAACCACTCCCTGGCCTTGTTCACTTTTCTCTCTGACCAGAACAATCTAAAAAAATATACCAAAAATTCACATATTGAACAACAACTCTAACAGATTATTTCTCTCCAACGAGGAAGAGGAATATGAGCTGCTCTGTTGTACAGGGCTCTACCTAAGCTTATTTTTTATTTTACTTTGGCCATGCAGGAAAGGTGGAAAGTGGCACAATGGTTGTGCCAGCTTTCCATGCCATGCTTTAGGGTCAGGCTGCCATTCCTTATAATGTTCCACTCAAATAAGTCCCATTTGCAATTAAACTTTCACTTCATATCTTCCATCAAGAGTTCTAAGCAAGCAGAGTTTCATACAAATTGATTTTGGAGATTATATTATGCTGGCAAGTTTGTTTGCCCAAAGGGCTAACATTCACTATGATGGTGCCTTTGGTGCTCCATTAATTAGAATAATGATTAGATCATTGGAAATATCCGTTTTAACCAATCTGCTAAAACTCCTGGGATGATAGGCATATTTATTGCTCCATCAAGTTACATGTTTGTACCTTAAAAATAGAAAATTTCCTAAAATATGTATCTCAGCTGCAGGATTGACCAAATGTCAGTTATCTATTTCTCCACTGTTGAAGCTTCTTGGAGCAAAAATGTCTTTGGAAGAATATCCCCTAAAGAAAAAGTCCTTCTGGATAAAACCTTTCAATTAAAAATGTTATTATATTGGAATCCAGAGGAGCACTTGTGTACCAAATTTCAGCTTTCAATAATTACATTTTTCAAAGTGGCAAAAACTTATTGAAAGTACTTCCCTGTCGAAATATGTGCCATTAGGGGATGTAATTGAGATTATTATTGAAATCATTACTCCAATGATTTATTGTGTGCCTGACTTCAGATCTCTTTGTATGTTCCAATTTGTCAGAGTAAAAAGATATCATGAAATACTTCCCTTCCATTATCTGCCCAAGGGGACATACAGTGAAAACTCGTTAACTCGAACTTTTAGGGACCGGGCAAATTGTTTCGAGTTATCCGAAGTTCGAGTTATCAGGAATCGCCCCCCCCCCCCCNCTTTTCTGCGTATAATGGTAGAGAGAGTAGAGGGAGGAATCCCGAAATTCTCTGCGATGCCTTTCTTCTTCAGCTGGCCTTCTTCGCAAGTCCGAATCAAGTGTACCTTCTTTTCGAGCGTCAGAGTCTTCAATTTCCTCTCGAGTGAGCTCATTCCACACAAATGGCGTAAAGGAAGTAGAATATGACTAGAATGGCTCGGAGTGAGAGCGATAGAGAGACAGAGCGAATTTTTGAGGTTGCTTTTTTATAGCCGAAGCTTCTTGGTTTTAATCCTCAGGTTTAATCCTCTCCACAGGCGTCTGTGTGGGAGGAGGGAGAAGCAGAAAAACAAAACAAAAAAGACAAAAGAACATCCTCCCGAACGAGTTTCTTGTCATTCATTCTATTCAAAAATCGAAAAGTCCCACGAGAAGAATTTTCCCCCCTACTCACCCAGAATTCGAGTTAACCGTGAGAAAATCGCTATAGGGAGTGAAAATTTCATTCGAGATATCCGGAAATTCGAGATAAGCGAATTTGAGTTAAACGGAGCATTTAACATGGTGTCCTACGGGGTTCCGCCGGGACCAAGCTTTGAACTTTGAGATAAGCGGAATTTCGACTTATCAGGATTCGAGTTAACGAGTTTTCACTGTACTTCAAAAATGGGATTTTTTTTTCACTCAGCAAACCATCTGGTACTTCTGCACCAAGTTTAAACTTTCTATCGCTATCTGTTTCATTGGATCAAATAAGATCCGAAAAAATGCGCCTCTTGCAAAAATATGTCCTGAGGGGTTTTACCTAAAAAGTAAAATTGTTACTGAAATCAGTACTTGGCAAACTACATGCCCACCTACTTTCAGTCTTATACCTTTGCCCTTTTCGCTGGTGAAAAAATATATTTGGAAAAGCCAACGCCACCCAAAAGCTATGCCCTGGGGGGTTGCACCACAAAAGTTGAATTTTTCCTGAAATATGACATTTTTCCTGAACTCAAGTGTCTCAGTAGGCACGTTCATGTCAAGTTTCAGCTTTCCATGTCTCTCCATTTGAATGAAGCAAAAATACTTCCTTGAAAACATCTCCCTCCCAAATGTGTACCCCCAGGGCATGTATCTCCAAAGGTTTCAATGGAGTTTGAATGTGGAATGATATTTGTCATGTTATTCTTTGTCCAAATACTTTCAGTAACATAGTGTAATTTTCAATACTATCTGCCAAAAGTTTTATATCATCCACTTCTGAAAAAGCTTCAAAGACTGAAGCTTTTTCAACTTCAATCTATTAGTAAGCCAAAACTATCTGATAATTTGGCATGGAATCACCCCATTCATTTGAAAATGTGCATGGTAAAACCAGTCCATATTCGTTATTGCACTATCAAATCAGGGAATATGAAGTTTCAGATCACGGCAGTAGAGTCCACAGTGAACATCCAGTACATGACCCATGTGGTTCAACAGAATGAAAATGCTACTAACTTTGAGACAGCCAATAGAACATGAGAATCATGTTCACATTTCTTCAGAGCATCAACACTCTTTGTTTTCCTTTGGGGTCGTGGTTCCAGAAAAATGGCCTCAGCCCATAGTATGCCGGCATTTGGACACTCCTGCAGTGCTATCAGTAAAAAATTGAATTTTTGAATTAGTGCCAAGGATCCTCAGGCAAAGATGAGGAGTGCAGCAGAGCATGGACTTACCCTTTGCCATGAGTGAAAGGGACATTTCACGGAACAATGCCCTCTTCTCAACTCTCACAGCCTCAAGCCACAATTCAGGGGTCTTGGGATTACGAAGGCGAGCTCTTTCCAGCACTGACCTTGCTTTTGTCACTTGACCTAACCTTTCTTCCAAGCGAGACAACAAAAGCCATAGGGGAACTGATATCCCACATTTCTTCAGCTGAAAGCAAGGAACAACCATGCTTCAATGTCAATATCTGCAACTTTGAATCATTCTGTCTCAAAGGGGAAAAAAGAAAGCTCTACTCACGCCTGCATTATACACATCACGTGCATTGTGTGGTTCTCCTTTTTGCTCATACACCTGTCCCTTCATCATCCACAGCTTGGCAAAATCCGGGAACAATTTTAGCCCTTCATCAAGGAGAGAAATAGTGGAATCCAGGTTCCCAAGGGCCCACTCCAATTTGGCTGACTTCATCATCACCCTGTTCTTACCAATAGAAAATCAGACACTACATACGAAATTACAAAAATAAGGGATTGTTTTTAGGTGAAAGGAAGGTAAAATGGATGAAGAGGCAGACCGTGGTGTAGGTGCAGAGGATCGTGCTTTGGCCAGCAGCTTTTTTGCCCGCTGAAATTCATTGTTTTCACTCTCCAGTTTCACCGCAGCAAGCCATATCTCCTCTGAATTAGGGTTAGCTTGAAAGGCCAATGATAAGATACTTCTGGCAGCAGGCACATCATCCTGAGCAAAGACCAAACTAAATAGCAAGGAGATAAGATACTGTGATTTAAGAGGGAAAGGAGAAAGTTTCTTACAGCCAACCACTTTGCCTTGGCACCCATGAGCCACAGGACTTCTGCCTTAGGGCAATGAGCCACTGCCCTTTGCAAGATAGACTCTAGTGATTCCCTGGTGCCATGATGCTTTTCAAAATAAGCTGCCTGCATCCAGATGTTCTTGTCACTTGGGAAGACAGAAAGGGCATGGGCATAGATGGCTCGAGCACACTCGTGAACTCCCTGGCTTGCACACTGGAATACAAGTATTAATTTTAAATGAAGACCAACTGAAAAGACAACAAATAAGAAAATAGGTCTTTTATAGATACTCACACTTTCAGCATCTTCCAACCAGGTATCCTTCATTTCATGTTCATCTAGACCATGCCCAATGACAGCTCTGATAATTGCTTGACAGGTTAGCACTGAGTTGCTCTTTTCACAGGCAATGGCATCATTCATCCACTCCTCCCGATTGATGTCAACTCCATTTGCTGACAATGATGTTAAGGCTGCAATTGCAAAGTATAAGCATCAAACATAAGTATCAAGGAGCTTTCAACATTTGCATGAAAAAATTTCAACACAGGTTGCACCTCTCTCAATGATTTTGTCCACCATGTTAGCATTGCCATGAGCTTCCTCCAGCTTGGCAGCAGTGATCCAAATGGACCTATCACTAGGAACATTCTCTCTTGCTTTGTTCAACACTTTCCGAGCATTCTCATACGTTTCCAATCTACAGAAAAGACCATAAAGCAAATGTAAGCACATCTTCATTGCACACATAAGCACAATGTAAGCATGTGGAGGAGCTTACCTGGCAAGGGCAATCCAGAGCTCAACAGCAGTAGGACAGCATTCCACAGCTCGGCTCAAAAGTATGCGCGCATCTTCAGGTTCTTCCAGTTCCACTGCTGCTTTCCATAGACGAACTGATGTGGGCATTTGCTCCAAAGCCTGGGAAAAGTAACAATGAATGACCACTGATAGGCCTATATACCATACGTCTGGAAAATGTTACATTTTGGACTTAGTCTCAGAAACACTCACATAGACACAACCCATTCACTGAAGCAAAGTTGTAAGCAGAGTATGCATCGCTGTCTTGATGGTAGGCTAGAATCAACAGACTAGTGTTACAATTTGTACCTGACATTGACATAGCTGTACATATTGCCAGTCAGACAATGTGTACAGGACCAAGCCTGCAAATGTTCAGCAGTTGAAAGCTGACATCTTCACCACTGTCCACGATATCACTCCAGCCGAGTGCCATTGTGTGATGGAGCACATGGACTCTCGTATATGTTACTGCCTGCAAGCTGATGGATGCCATGTGAATGGCACACGTTTTTTCTCATAACATGTATCTTGGTCCATCGTAGCTTCTGTGGTCATAATGTTCCATCTGCGTGCATATTGTATCCTGTGTGACTGTTTCTGAGACTGGGTCCAAAATGTAACATGTTTTCCAGACATATGGAATTCTACTTATACTAGTGTGCTTATGAAGCATTTCCCATATCCAATTCACCTTGCGATAGACTCGTCTCTTGGCCTTGGTTTCTGTTTCCAGCTCAGCAGCCCTGAGCCATAACTTCACAGAATTGGGAAGGTGGCGGACTGCATTTGCAATGACAGCCTTTGCTGTCTCCGGTGGTTGTAACCGGGCTGCCTCAAGCCACAGATCCTCTGATTGAGGACAAGCCTGAAGAGTAAGACATTAAAATTTCCATGCTGTGACAACAGGTAACATGAAAAAAGCCAATTTATAAGCTGCAGTTCAAGATATAAAGACATTCACTGCTTTGACAGGACAGGATAGGGATACTGGCTGGTTTCACTCAAATTTACTTATGGTGGAGATTGATACGATAATTCTGACTAAGAAATGGACTAAAATGTTGTGAAAACTCATCAGAGTGCATGTAGTTGCATAGGCTGATCAAAAAGAAACGGAACTTTGGCTGCAGTTCAAACTATGCTCATTGAAATTGATGGCCACTTTTCAGACATCAGCTATGTTCACTTTATGACTCATGGTAAAAATTTCAGTTGTCTGTTATTCAGCCTTTATCATATGTGCATACATTTATTTGTACATTAACCTTTATTGGATGAATGTCGAAACTGCTGTGCCACAGAATGTATTATTCCATGGCCTAAAGGTACAAATGCTGTACTGCAGCATTTTGAGAAAAATGCTCTGATATTAAATTAATAATTGCTCAGTTAGCAAGTGTTTACAAGCTTTGTAGAAAACATCTGGCTGTCAGCACTTATGCAGGAGATTTAAATCCGTCCAATAAAAGTTAAGGAACTCTGTAGGTGATCCAAAGAAATTGCCATTGTCAGTAAATTTCAGTGGATTTTACTGGAATGCCAGTTTTGGAGCAGAGGGCAAACATGAAGCTCTGAAAATGGTTCACTTAGACCAGTGGTCCCCAAACTTTTTGAGGCGAGGGCCACATGGACACTTTGGTCCACTCTGAGTGGGCTGCACTAGTAATGTTAGTCAACCTATAGTGGGCCACATTGGAAAAGATCCAACATATCTGCATGGTTAACCCTTTATCTTGCCATTAATCTTGTTGTTAAGCAACTCTAAACCAGGTAGTCCCATTTAAAAAAATGAGCAGCAATCGAAAACTACTCATTCCCACCACATCCACACACACTTCCACCTCTCTTAATAATAACTGCTACTACTTGGAGTCGGGGTTCATGTAAATGCATTGATTCTAGATGTTGCTTTGTTACAAGTTGTATTTTCGATAATTGCTTCTTTCTTTAGCCTTAACTTCATTCATTTGCGAGGAAATACTCTTTCTTTGCAGGATATGGAGGTTCTGCATGTTAGGCATTTAGTAGGTGCTCACCAAAATACATAAGTGGCTAAATGTAAACAGGTATTATATGTACCTAAATATCTAAGGAACGACTAAATTTATTAGTTTTCAGCTAAGGATTCAAAATCTGGAAATGAAATAATTGTTGATAGCTATTGTTCATCAGTGTCGATAAAATGGTTAAATGTGAAAAAGTCAATTAAGTCATAGTGAGCCGCATAAAACCATGAAGTGGGCCGCATGCGGCCCGCACTTTGAATACCACTGACTTAGACTCTCAAACTTTTGCAGCAGGTGTACCTACATACAGCAGGTGCTGGCAGCAGATGCCTGTGGATACTTTTGTGGCAAAAGCTCAGTGAAAACTCTCAGTGAACGATTTTCAGAGCTTCATGTTTGCCCTCAGCTCCAGCGCTGGTATTCCAGTAAAATCCACTGAAATTTACTAACTATGGCAATTTCTTTGGATCACCAACAGTTCCTTAAATAACTGACAAAAGAAATTTTTACCATGAGTTGCAAAGTGAATATAGTTGATGCCTGCAGAGTGGCCAACAATTCTGATGAGCATTATTTAAGCTGTGGCCAAAGTTCCATCCTCTTTTGATCAGCCTACATATATTTCAGCATTAGGCTGAAAGGCTTATTTCATAAAAATAGACAGGAGTCAGAAAAAAGCCTGGTCTGATTTTTTTTCCTATAGGAACAAGTGTAATCTATCCCCCATAGAAAATGAGTGGAGCGTCTTTTTTGAAACACTCTATACATGGTGGAGACAACTATTTTTTACAAAAATAACAAATTTTGTTCCCATTTTTTCTCAATTTCACAATAGTGGTTTAAGTTGAGAGGAAGTTAAGAATTGTAACAAAACTGGAAACAAGCTTTCCAGAAATTATATATATATTTAAAGTTATCTGTTAGGAGGGAAGCTCACTCACTTCACATCCTTTCATTATGAGATTTCTTGCAGTCTGAATCTTCCCTGTTACTTCTTCAAGTCTTGCTGAAGCAATCCATGCAGGAGGGTGCTTGGGATTTGTCTCTCGCACACTCTTGAGCAGCAAGCGAGCCTTCTTGATGTCACTGTAAATATACAGTAATTGGTAAACAGACATTATCAATCATGAATAAAAACATTAAGATGTGGTTATGATAATGAATTATTTACTTGATGTCTCCCCCATATTTTGGAATAATGCTCTGGAGATCAGTGAGATACCCTTTGGGATCAACTACTGTCTGCCCACTCACTGAATCAGAAACCTGGTTCAGTTTTATGTCCATCAAAGTATTCCTTGCCTGCCCAATTTTCCTCAGGTCAAGGTCCCCACTTGGTGTTAGCATGCCTGTACAAATGAAAAAAGTGCATATATAATTTTCATTCGAAGAACAAAATAATAAATGTAAAAAACAAATTGTCCTCCAAATAGAGAGCTTACCAAACGAGGTCATTGTGCCAGGAGTCACAGATTGAGTCCCATGTGGAATGACAGAGGCAAGGCCTGTGGATGGGTCAATGGCAGATGCTGTGCCTGCCATGGTCATGCTGCGAGCCAAGATGCTGTCAGGCAATGGTGTGTACCTAAAAAAAGCACATGGGAAGCATTTATGATCACAGCCAAGTCAACATTTTCATCTTAACCATGACACAAAAGACTCACTTTTCACCACGAGGGTTCCTCTGTTTCCGATTCCTGGCATCGCCCACTTCTGGAAGGGAACTCCATTCTTCCTCACTGACTTGGGCCAGATCACGCTTGAGATCAGAGAACATCTGCTGGATCTTGGGCCTTTCTTGCCGATACTTCTCCAGCTCCTCTAAAATGCAATCATGCCCTCAATATGTTTCATGACAGCCTACATCATGTATAGGACACTAGCTTCTCATCTCACCTTTCAGTTTCTTCTCCCTGTACTCTTTCCTCTTCTCATCCATTCTTTTGTCAATGGCTTCATATATGGCATCTGCTTCTTCATCATCCTTGTCATAAGGATCTTTTGTACACAATGATCCACCATAACCTGTAAACTGCACAAAGGCACAAAATCCAAGTTATCATATACAAGCATACCAAAAGTGTTCAACAATTTGCAGATAGTTGAAAGCAGCTTTGATGTGATTTATGAAGCAATGTCATAATCAGATCAGTATGTGCAAAGTTGTGTCTGAAGAGATGACCAAGAGAATCTGAGTCTGATTCATCAAATTACAAACAATATGGTGAAAGGACAATATCTGTAGAGTTGATGCAAAGGAAGAAGTGAAGTACAGGGTGAGTATAAAGTTAGTTGGCCTATTCAAACAACTGTATCATGACAACTGTGCACCATGAAGAAATGAAATTTGGTACACATACAAATTGGACCATGGTGAACATGTTCCCATGGACAAGGACAGTACACAGAAGGCACTAACATCAAGCCTGGCCACCTCGATCTCCAGATCTGACACCTTGTGATTTTTGGATGTGAGGTGACCAAAATTCGGTTCTGTAACAGGCAATGCCTGCTACATTGGCATATCTCAAAAGATACCAAACAACATAAAATTGCCTTCTCAAACACCGAACAGCTTCATGCAGCTGTGTACCATGGCCTTCCACACAGGCAAACTATCATGGACACAAATGGTGGTCATGTTGAGCTGATAATAGTATTCTCCAGTGTATAGTCATTTTCCATGGGAAAATGGTCCCCATGGTCCCATTTGTATGTGTACCAAATTTCATTGCTCCACGGTGTACAATTTTCATGATACAGTTGCTTGAATAGGCCAACTTCATAAGCACCCTGAACATGGCACTAATTCAAGCCTTGGTGAAAACTCCCTGAATTGAAGGTAGGTTCAAAACCAGGTTCTACAAACTAATACCTACCCCTCTCCCAAACTCTAGCAGATGTGCACTTGAACTAACTTACTTCAGAACTGACCTTGGATGTGTCTTGCTCTCCTGCCTACTTGCTTATTTTTCTGTCAGTTTTTGATCTGTCAGTCTCCTATAATCTGCTTAACTACTGTCCACCAATTAGGAGGTAGGCTACTCCCAATTAGCTGGCACTAGCTTTATATTCCCTTACAGATGCATGGACACTGAGATCTACATTGGTAGGTGTCTTTCACAAAAGTGTCTCCTACACAGAATGCTTACCTCATCATAATTAGCATCATTCAGATCCTCATCATCATCTTCTTCCTCCTCTTGGCCTTTCTTCTTCTTAAAAGGAACTGCATGCCTGTCATCTCTACAAATATAGAGGAAATGAATCCCAGAAGCATGTCTTGCATATCTTGCATTAAGAAATTTCCTTCCTCAAATTTCTAATACTTACGGGACATCACTGGAGTCCCTGGCTGGACCAATATCTGAACGTGTGGTGAAGCCTGTGGCTCTGAAAATAATACAGGCATTCCCCATTTCATTTTGTGATCACTTGAAGAACTGACTTAACTGGACAAAGCTTACCCTCGACCAACACCAGCCACATATCCAAGAGGAGCTGGCATCCCCAGGAAGTTCTTTTTATTTTTATTCACAAGTGCAGATGGTGGAACAGCTGTCATGATGATGTTCCTGCCTGAGGCTCCAAGACTGAGAAAAACTGTGAAGTATAAATGTCACCCACCAGAGCTTTGAAAGTAAAATCCTGAGATTTGAAATAAACTTTTACTCCAATTCAGCCCGAAGTGATAGCTTTATGTATTTGTGTACAGGGACCATTTTATAATGCACCTTTGAGGAGTGAAATTATGAGTGAAAGGAATTTTTCTTTGCAAGAAAGTCTTTATACTCTGTATCAATATGTTTCACTAGGATTAGAGGACTTGGGCTAGAAATCATTAGAACTCAATTGCCACCTTCCTTTATGAGATAGCTGGAAATAGGAAAAACTGTATCAGAACTGGATAGAAAACCTATCAGAGGAAAAAAAGTACCTATGAAGTGAAAAAAAAACACCTGATCTAAATACTCTAGTCTCAGCGTCCAGAATTCTGAACATTTTGATTTGTATGTTTCTTCAAAAAATATTCATAGGAACAGAAAATCTAGTTTTCAATACATGTATCCATACAAAGGAAAGCAGAAGAACCACTAACAATTCCAAGAAACTCTTCAAAATTGTGCAGTCAATATTTAAAATATAAAGTTCTGCACTATATTCAATGTCTTTGAGCAAAGATAGCCTCTGCTTGTAGGTATGGGCTTCCCTGAACTGGTTCTTGATATTTGACATGGAATTTTTAAAGTTATTTTTGAGAAGGCTCTTCAGAAAGGAGACACTGAAGATGAAAGAATTCCTGTATGCATGAGCAGCAAGATTGATAGAAGCATGCTGATGGTTTTGGAAGATAAACAAGGGTCAATTGGTTTCTCAACTCTCAGTACAATATTGCATGATTGAGTTCTGATGTTGATCACACTTTAAGAAAGAAAAAAGAATGAAAAAATGACTTTAAAATATTGGTTTCAACTTCACAATGGGAGATGTTTTCAATCAAGCAGGACATCTAGGCTTATATTACTTAAAGGTTAAAGTGAAAGAATTTGACAAATATACTATTCAGAATGGTTGCACAAAGTGGTCTTACTGACCAGATATTTCCTTCATTGAGGAATATCTGTGCAATGAGGCAATGAGAAATCATTATGCACAGGCGTTATAATCACATCTCTCAAGCAAACCCCTTCCAAAGAAAAAGCAAAGATTTGATGCTATGTTTCCTGGTTCTACTGGATGAGGCATAAAAACATATGCCACACTTTGAAATTCTTTTGTGCTCATGAGACAGCATAAAGTGCAACAAACTTTTTTTGTAGCAACCTCTTTGTGTACTCTAAACATTCTAAAACTCTTGTCAATTTTTCTCCAGCCATTTCACCATATGACCAATTATACAAATCAACTCTTTTATAATTTTTGCATGGGAAAAAGTACTGTATTTGCCCTCGTATAGGTCAGCCCTGACTCTTGAGACCCCTTTAAAAAAAAATACTCATATAAGTCAAAGTGACAGAAGACTAAGTGTATGCACATTAATAATTCATCATTGGAGAAGAGAGAAACATCACTGTTCTTGTCATTGCTTTTGATTTTTTATATGTTGTAAATGTACAGTAAATGTAAAATGTTGCATCCTACAGTGATGAACACACCTCTCTGAGAAACCAAATCTCTCAGAAACTCATCTTTGGCTGCACAGCAGTTGATGGCCTTGGTGAATAATTAACTTCATGCATGAAGGCAGCAGTTAAGTTGTGCAATGCTCTCACTGAGTCATGATTAGAGTATCTTTGTCGATGAAGCTTAGATCAGATGTCATACACCAGGAAACATCCCTTTATATACCCATGCCTGAGTTCCAAACAGAGGTGTTCCATGTTTGACAGACTTTCACCCAATTTTATAACTTAAGTAAAACTTGTGACAGCAGTTAGTAAAGACTAAAGGAATGATGCATGCATTTTTTTACAGTTGAAAATTTGAAAGCCTGGCTACACAAATTGGTTGACAGCAAATTTTGAAAGTTGATTTGGTAAAAGAAAAAGGTCAACCTATAAGCATGCAATTATGGTAGTAGTGGGAGAGTGGTTGGTATGTACAGTGTGTACCAATTCACGGACCAGATATCTTCCCTCTTCACGACGTTAACACATTCACTGCCAAAATCAACTATGGTCGATTTACAAAACTCCTGCGTATATAACCCCACTAAGTGCCCAGAAATGGCATGAAAGGTGATGTTGCTGACATCCAGAGTTCTCAGACACTATTCAAAACTAATAATACCTAGCATTTTTTCACCCTTCCAGTTACCCAGAATCCCACCTCTTGTTTACCAGCCCCTGCAGATGACTAAAAAGTTACAGTCATGTGATTGGAATGCATGTGGGATACACTATAAGTGCAACAGATAGTGACATCAATTTCATGCCAGAATTTGGTATAGATTCCTCATCTGATCAGGGTGAGGATGTTGAAGGTGGTGCAGGTACATCTCACCCACAGAAAAGGGGGGAAAATGCCTATAATGCACTCCAACTGTGAATGGATGGGGTGGAGCAAGAATATTGCAATAATTTCTTGATGAGCAAAATAATAAAATTTGGCCTATTATCAACTTATTGATTTACACCATGAGAAACTGGTTCATCAGACAGGAAGAGGTAGAATGGCAGATGAAAATTATTTTAAATAGAAGAACTGCTACTTATGGAAAAGAAGCCATCATTGAAGCCTCAACCTGATAATCCAAGGATTCAAGAGTCTCACCTGCAAAGAGCCAGAGACAAGCCAGAGACCTGTTCAATGGATTCTGAAGTGCAGGGGGGAAAAAGCTTGCAAAACAATTCTCATACCTAACTATTGCTACTGGTCCAAAGATCAGAATTGTGATGAAAGCACAAAATTAAAGTAAAATGCTTGTTTGGTGAAATGGATGGATATAAGCAGACAAAAATTACATGATATTTTAAAGGTACATACAAATAATTATGAAGAGCAGAACCTTTTTTGCCACACCCAATATGTTGAAATGTATACATAACAATTTAGTATGATGAAATAATAATGGAATGACATGAGCTCCTGCAAATAAACATATTCTTTCTTTGCTCTGGGAACAGCATTTCATCATCTTACTCTGTCAATACGAGAGAAGAACATGGGCCCAAAATTACTAGGCAACCAAGGCAATACCTGCAGCCCCCATCTATGAGCACTTGGAGCCAGACGGAAGATCCATGCAAATGGTTCAAATGCATGAGTAAGATCCCTAATCTTAAATTCCATACTGGTAGTACTCCAGATTTCTTGGAGGGCTGCATACACCACCCCTTCATTTTGGGCTGGTGACAACGTGCATGTTGAATACACCACACTCCCACCAACCTTCACAGATTTCAAAGCACTCAGCAGAAGTGCAATCTGAAGGTTGGGAAGTTCCACTCTCTTTCTGGTCCTTGTTGGATGGTAGAGGTTGTTGTCATTTTCAGAGAGGGCCTCTCGATCATTGGTACATGGAACATCAACAAGGACTTTATCATAACCACCAGGTTCCTTCAAAAGCATGCCATCTGACTGCTGGATGATTAAAGCACCTGCAAGGCTCTTTAAGTCAGGGATGTAACTATCCATAACATTTTTCAATCTTCTAATGCGTGCCTGACTGTGTTCATTGCAAACCACTGTCTTTGGGTAGAGAGATTGGAGCATCGCAAGTGCCTTTCCACCAGGAGCACTACACAAGTCCAAAATTGCATCTCCTGGTTGAATCTCAAGGGCCAAAACAGGCAAAATTGATGCCCCGTCTAAAAGATAATAATTGAAGAAGCTTGATTTATCACGTTTAGGTTCAGGGAATCGCCGCACATCACTTCGGACATGAGTATATACACGAAGCATGGGAAGGGCTTGAAGTTTCATGACTGGATCTGCAACAACTGGAAGATCTGGGTCTATGGATGTATAAGACTGGAAGTATGCTGCTTCACCTTTATAATTTTCCATTCCTTTCACTTTAGTGGCTGGCATAAAGTAAGAAAGGTTTCCCTGGGCAATACTGGACTCAGGATCAATGAGTCTTGTCTCTTCTCCTGGCTCCAACACTTCAGCAGACATGTAGTATGGGTCACTTTGTAGCAAATCTGACTCCAGTTTTCTAGTTGGCACTGGATCAACATACACAAGTGGCTCACTGATAATATTTTCAGAAGACCTAATTAAGTCAACACAGCCCAAGGAGGTGAGACTTGCTTCAGAGGACTCAACTTCTGCAAAATTATTCAGCAATGCTACATATTTTGGAAGTGAGAGAAGCCCAAGGCGTACTGATGGCCACAAACCAGGGAAGAACTTTGCATAAAACATGTCCATGTGTTGGAGAGCATGAACTTTGGGTTCTGTGGCCCATTTATTAGCTTTTTTGCAGAACCGCACCCATGAGCACAGAGGTGTCACATTTTTTGACAGGACACGAGTTGGGGTTATATTCTGTAGCATATCAAAGTGTAATGCCAAGCCAACCCTGTGAAAGTACAATATGATTACTTGATGCTGGAAATATTTTCATACTTGGCCTATGATATCAAATCAACTAAAGAAGATACAAGTTACTGAATTGAAAGAGGAGCACACAAGTAAGGAGTGAGGCAGCAGGTCAGTGCCAAACAGGCAGTCTTTACACTGCCGTCATCCAGTGAATCTTCAAACATGAATCATCATTACACACTTTGTCCAAAAAAATTGGATTTTATTTCTAGTCCTTTATGACAATTAAAAGAGCAGTGGACAAGCATACAATGGGAGCAATCAAACATTCATCCAGTGAGACCTTTTGAGATCACCTCACACATCCAAACTATTACCAAGAATCAGTACCTGTGTAGTGAAGGTAATATACATGAGTTATAGAGCTGGAATAGGATTTGGAACCTTTTGCATCACAGCACAAGCTTGGACTGAGAGAGGACCAGGGCACCAGAAAGACAAGTAATCACACTTTTTCATCCCTGGACTCTCCAGTCTGGTGTGATAAAAGGTGTTGAAAAGAGTGTGACCTAACTGCATCACAAGCTCTTCTTGGCACAGGTGTAGCTTGTGGGAAACAGTACCAGAAAAAAAAGGCATGAAGTGCATTCAGCCTGATGACTCGGAATGTGACTACAAAGGAACAGATGAAAAAGGAATAAGAGCTCCATTCCAAATGTCAAGGATATTCTCACACTGGACATTTATGGTAAAAGGGAAGCCATCTCACACTCCAATGCTGACAGTAGGAAGCTAAGTGCCAGTATAGTAGATTCTTTAACATTATTGGAAGATTTTAGTTTACATAATCAGACATGGCATAACTACTTCATTTGCTGATGTCTGACAGTCAAAGGCCAAAGCATGCAAAACGTAACCCGTATTTGGAAGCAAATGAGTTCATGATGGTTGCTTCTGCACATTGCCATCTATGGCCAAACATTTGAATGTTTAGAGCTGGACCTGAGGAAATAGCAAAAACAGTGAAGCAATCATTGCACACATAATCACTGCAGCATGCATCACTGTACTAGCACTCAACTTCCAATGTCATTCAACTTTTCTTTTAATAGTTCTGCGAAAGAAGTAGAATCCTGCTTCAACCAATTCTGCTCCAGTTTACACCATGTTAGGAACCTTAATTACTGCCAGTCACGACCTGACAGGGAAACATGAGATGATGTCCACCCTCCAATACTGTATAGTACATAACTTTTACATTCACATAATAAAAATTACACCATTTTGTGAACATCTCAAGAAATTCACAGCTGGCCTCAAAGCTAGGCCTAACAGAAACGAAAAGTCCCAAGAGGTGCCTAGGACATAAAATCATCCACTGTCTTCCAATTATATTCTACTCTCAATTTAGGGGAAGTTTTCAATCTCAATATAGGGCTTCACACAGGCTGATATAAGTTTCATTATCTTTCAGCACTTAGGTACAACCAGGCCAGAGTTTTTAGGGGTTCACTGTACTAGCCCCACACACCTTCTCCTCTTCCTTTGCATGCTGACAGAGAATGATTAGGGGAATATAGCCATAAAAATCATAGTTTCAAAGCATTCAACTGCCATGCACAATACAAAAATGAAGATATATCAGTACTGGAACTGAAACAGAATTTTCAAACCTTTCAAGCTGTCTTCAAATCACACAGCCTTGATTCTGTAGGCTCTTATTGGAAACATGCCTCAAATTCAAATGTTCCTCTAAACCTTGCTTAATTCCATTTCAAAATTGGAGATCTCTATATTTCCACATCAAATAACAGGAAGAAATGCTGGAAAACATTACTCTCTGAAAATAAGTCACTGAGGTTTGCTTGAAAATGTCCTGAAATTAGCATAACTAAACCCATATTAAAGATCATTAACTTGATGCACAATGTCTTCCATGTAGAGCCCCAAATTTCTGAAAATTGTCAAAAGAGGAGTGTTACTCAAATTAAGGGTATACAAAGTGAAAAAGCAATAATGGTAAGAGGTCACACATACTGATGCAATGAAGCAGGAGCCCTGTCTGCACTATCTTGCAATTGCTGGTGCTATGAATTTCACTGTTATTGACTTTTGATCAAGGGCCAGATGGTTGACATATCACCTACTCTGACAGGAGCTGAAGACTGCTAATGGATAGCAATGCTACATGAGCAGTCTTGCCTTCAAGAGGACTTGTTTAGCAGCATGTCTTGTGACAGATTCTACCACCAAATTTCAATGACTGCCACTGTTCAGCCACAGCTAAATATTTGGCCACAGTAAAGGGTCAAGGATTCCTATGATCATCAGCACCATCAAATCTTTTGATGGAAAGTGTAGACACACCATCTTGTATTGATTGTGACCACCAAGAATAAGTCAGCATTTCTGCTGTCAGTGTTCAAGACAGCAAGGAAAGAGATGAAATGCAGGAGAAGGGAGAGAAGGGTTTTTTCTTTATTTTGGCCACCCTATAACATAGACAGGGCAACATGTCAGGGCTTCTGTTTTGTACATAGGTTTTTCCACACTATGTGAGACTGGACCTATATAGAAAGGCTTATGCTTACTGAATAAACTAAGTATACTTAGTTCTTTCAGCATTCTACTTCTCAAATGTTTCTACATTCCATGAAAAAAAAATTTGTTTAATTATAACAGTAACTTTAAATTGTTCAATCATGCCAAATCTGGAAATTTCTGGAGCTCAGTGACTTCTTTCCAATGACATATGATATCTCATGTTTCTACATAAGGGGTGCACAAAGTGGATGCTCTCTATGGCACTTTGTGTGCTGAATGCAGCCCATGGGCCACACTTTGTGCACCCCTGGTCCACATTAACCCTTCAATGAAGGAGTGTTCTCTGTGTCCTCTACACATTTGGGGGGGGGGGGGGGGGGGGGGGGGGGGGGGGNCCCTTCAATGAAGGAGTGTTCTCTGTGTCCTCTACACATTTGGGGGGGGGGGGGGGGGGGGGGGGGGGAGGGGTTTGAATATATTTCAAGGTTGAAAAGAATGTCATATATTACATGAAAATTAATGAATGAGAAAAATCCATGAACTTCAAATGACACAGGACATCACATGACAGGTGCCCTCATTGAAGGGTTAAATTCAATATTATTTGCTGTTGAAATATAAGCATCTCCACTTATAGGTTCATTACCTATGTGTTTGGAAAGATACAAGAAGTAAGCTTGTGAACAACGAAAGGCACAGAAAAACCTAAATGCGTTTTTTTTTGCTAAATCCATAAGGTCAACTGTTTGGTAGACTTACAAGATGTCAAACAACAGGGGCTGTTCCAAACAAAATTTTTAAAAGCTGTAACAGTCCAACACAAGACTGTTTTCACTTTGTGATCATGAAGGCAACCAAAACTTTCCAAGTATACGTTCCAGAAAACAAAGGAAAGAATTGAATTCTATTCAATGACAGGAAATGTTGAATAATCTGTAGGGTGTCAGCTTTCAAACATGAGGGATCATAACCTATTTCTAGTCAATTCTGATGCAAGTAGGACCTTTAGTGGCCAATTAAGTCTTGGTTGCACCACTGCCTTCATACTAGCACTACAGACTAAAATAGGGCATGTAACCTTCACCTTTTCCTTTCCATGACATTGTGCTTTTCCTATGAGAAAATTACTATGAAAATAATGAGAATCTGTGGCTGCTGTAACTAGGTAACTTCACATCAGAGCTGCAGTGATGTGCAATTTGTGAGGCAATCCAGTAGACATTAGGAAGGAAACCAACTTTTAAGATGGACCTAGTCCACTACTGTCATGAATTGCAATCATAGTCCTAAAAGAAATTCAGTCAAGAATTTATGTTTACCCACATGAAACACATCTGAAGCAGTTTGCAATAAGTTACAATTCCAAAAGCGAAACCTACACAGAAAAGGACCATAGGGCACATCATAATGGATACTCACATGCTTATTGATATATAGGATTACTTTTGTAGAACCATAAATGATGAAAGCCTTTCAACTAGATTCTCATCCTGCAATATCTCCTCATCAGTGCACAATCAAGAATAGAGAATAAAGGCCTTTTTACTCGATTCTTATCTTGCTGTAGCTCTTCATCAATCAGAAAAAGACTTCATATTAGCAGTGCCCATACTGGGGTATGCTCATTGGGGAGGGGGACACAACCAGAACAAGTGTGACAATTTGAAGAAAAAAAAAATTTTTTATGTTTCTCAATTGAACCCCAGTTTCACAAGTAGAGCATGTTCATTACTAACCATAGTTGTTAATCCTGAAGCAAACTTGCATCAAACTCATGCCCTGAGTCACATCCAGGGAATCCTACTAGTTGAAGAGAAAAATGTAAAAGGAGGGAATGGGAGGTATCAACTGGCCCATTGTTATAAAAGGGGTTTGAGGGTATGAAGTTTTGGAATAACTGCTAGGTTAAAAAAAAACAATGCATGGGGAGAAAGAGTGTAGTTGTTGAATGTCCCTGTCTCTTGAAAGTCAGAATGCTACTGTTTATGAAATAATAAATTCCTGACTCCTTACTTTCAATGTGTAGGAACCTGTTTCTCAACACAATGAGAAAGTCATGAAGGAGAACACAATGAAGCAAAACACATGTTTAAATGCATCCAACACATCATTAAAATGTGGCCAAGGCAAACTCCTTGTCAATAATAAAGGCCCTCAGTGAATAGGGACCAGATGTGATTGTAAAATGATTGTACACTGTGAGCATACCAAAAACAGTACTGGTAGATTGGTACACTGTCCAGATCCAGACCTTCAATTATTGCCTGAAGGTTACTGACTGCTTATGCACTGAGTTTTTTCCGTGCCTTTCATGTGAATATTTTAAATTCTGGGTCTTTCCTACTTCATGCTCTACATGTTTTTTTTTTTTCATCAAAAGCAGCCATTTATAATGTGACAGTGATTGGGATCACTAAAATTACATGGATAATGCAACCATATAGTTATGACAGAGGAAGAACTAAGGGTAGAGGTGCAACCAGTGACCTCCTT